CCAGGAAGACCGAGCAGCTTTGAGATAGGCGCGATCCAGCTCGAGCCTCCACCGCTACTCGTCGAGTCAGCCCCGCCCGCCTCCGCCGACGCGGCCTTGGCAGGATGCAGCGCCATATCGCTGACCTTGTCAGCCACTGTTGGGTCGAGAATGACGTCGTTCAGCGTGACACGCATTTGGCCCATCTCAGCGAACATGTCTTTGAAGAGCTTGAAGAGCGTCCGCAGGTCGCGGCGGGAACACATCATCGTCGCCCTCTCGTCCTCCAGGAACGCGCGGAAGTGCCCACGCAGTGTCGCCGCCTCGTGTAGAATGCTGTTCACCGTCGAGCGTGAGAGGTGGCTCACGTCCGCACCCAGCAGACGCTGTCGCTTCAATCGGTTCGTCAGCGTCAACGCGTCCGCCTGGTTCATGCGATTCAGGAGCATCGTCACTCGCTCCAGGAGCGCGCTGATTGCACCCGTCTGCCCGTCAGTCAGCGATGAGGACTCGGATCGGCCGTCGTGGGGCGTGCTTGTGGACATGTGGTCGCCAACTGAACGGGGCGCGAGGAGACCGTCGCCACTCCAGATCCCGTCGGTCTGTACACCCCTCGATCGCATAAGCGATAAGAGTGATTTCCGAGCCAAACCAGCTTCTGGAGACATCGGCCGCCCACCGAGCTGGCTCTCTTCATCGTGTTCGAAGCTATAATCAGACATAGAGTAGTGTGTCCGCGCGAACGATGTCCATTTCGTTTCGGAGGGTATGAGGGAATCAGTGGGCGACAGCGGTCGTTGGGTAGTTTCTGGTGTAAGTGGCTCCTGTAATGTATTAAGCGACGTAAAGAAATACGTTACAAAAACACTCACAAAGCCTCGCCGTAAAGTTCGCTCTACACTCGCAGCGCGCCGAGAGGACATGGCACCAGAATTCCGCCGTCGATGCCAGGACTGTAAGATCGAGCCCGATGGGGCCGTTCCGACTTGGAAAGTAGGCGACGATGGGGGCACTGGTTCCTCCCCGCTGTTCATGCGTTTATGTCGCCAATATGACAAGTCGTCCGCCCGCCGTTCTTCCACTTCCTCCTGCAAATTGCGCACATCCTCCCGCGCCTCGGCTAGTAATTTCTGTAGTTCTGTACTATCGCGCTTCAGCGCCTCGTTGTCAGCCACGAGAGATTCAAGGATTGCCGTGATCTCTATGTCGTCTGTCTTGGCAGCGAGTCCTGATTGCTGTGCACAGCATAAATTCCATGAGCAGATTTCGTGAGACATCAGGACTGGGACCGACCGACTGTTGCAATTGCGCCAGGCGCTGCCGAGCATCCACGAGAATGTCTTGAGACAGACCCCGACGGTGCTGGCGTTGTATCTCCATATCGTCCCGAAGCCGCTGAACCTGTGCTTGCAGTTTGGCTTTCCAGAAATCATGCTTTGCTCATATCTCACACTTGCAGGACGAACTCACCACACTTCTCCTTCAGAGGATTTATGCGTGCCTCCAGGAGCTTTGTTCTTTGTGTTGCACTATCTCGCTCTTGCTGGAGATCATCTCTCTCCTGCAAAGACATCGCAAGACGATTCTCCCACCCTGCAGAACGCGCTTGTTGCGCAGTCAATCGCGCGATATTAGCCTGTGCTTCCTGAAATTCCTCAAGTGTACTCTTGATGGAAGCTTCTGCGATCTCATTATTCACGAGAGCCTGGGTAAGACGCTAAAAGCCTGCAGTCAATACGACGTATTCTCGCGCAAGTTGTACCCCTACCTTCTCCAGAACGGCATTCTGAGAAAGGATTTGGTAAGTGTCCTCCTGGAAATAGCTCGCAAACGTACCTCTTTGACCAAATCTGCGATGCGAGCGTCGACCGGCTCCTCCCCGGATGCCGGTGGCGATTGGGAAAGCGACTGTCGAGCAGAGTCAAAATGGACCGAATAAACAGGAGGTGGAATATTGTTCGGTACTTCATGTCTACGCACGTATGCTTCGTGCCTTTCAAGGAGTGCTTGACCGACCTCTTTATCGCGCATCAGCTGCCAGAGCCGTCGACCGAGGATGACAGTGAGACCGACCTGCGCTTAGGACGAGTCGACTCTCCATCTTGGACTTCCACGACGACCACGCCTTACTTGTCTCGCAGTCTTCTTTTCCGCAGCAGCATATGGCGATATAGGGAGGCTCTGGAGAGGACACGCGGGAGTAATTGGACAAGGCAAAGGTGAGGTCGTCGATCGTCTTTGTCGCGTGTCGGAGACTCGTGGACATGGGTGAATTGGGTGTTGGTGGCCGTGGCGGGAAGGACATTATGCACTGTAGGGTACAGCAGGATAAATAGACGTGTGGGCAGGCTCAATGGCAGCAGTTGGGTGTGAGACCAGCCTCTCAGCAGCCGCTATAGTCGAAGCAACGCGTGTCGACAACAGTGTTCCGCGTTCATATAGTGGTTTCGCGAATGACGAGCAGGCCGTGTCTAGCAAGTCTTTCGACTCAGAGGTCGAGTGCAAGAGCAAAGACGAGTTTCTGAACTGGTCCGAGTCTGCGTTTGAGCCTGGCTCGATTATTCAAGCGACAATTTAGCCCGGCGCTTGCCGCCAGGCATCTCTCAAAGGTCGCCGCCCCGTCCTCGCCTCGTCCTGACCTCATTAAATGACTTCCACACCGTTCATGTCGACGGAGAACCCTTTTCGTGCTGCTCGAAATACCGGAGACTAATTTACACGGCCAGGACGTCTCCTTCTGCACTATACACCGCGCTGCTCGTCCGCCAACTTCTCGATACCGCTGACGATATCCGCTACATTGGACACCGCACCGAAAATGCCCCCTTCCTTCGGTATCATGTCGACAGCCCCTTCGTGTAGGCGGTCCATGCTCGCACCCGTCGCGTCCTCCACGAGCAGGCAGTCGAATCCGCGGTCATTCGCCTCGCGCATCGTGGAGTGCACGCATACGTCCGTTGTCACCCCACACAGAACCAGGTTCCGCACGCCGCGCAGCCTCAACAGCAGCTCAAAGTCGGTGTGCGCGAATGCCGACCGTCCCGGCTTGTCCACGACGGGCTCGCCGTCGCGCGGATAGAGCTCGTCCACAATGTCGTGGCCGCGCTCCCCGCGGATGATGAAGCGTCCGAGCGGACCACGGTCACCGATGCCCAGTCCGCTTTCGTTGTTCCGCGACCGAAACAGCTCGCGCGAGGAGAGGGTGGATAGATCCGAACGGTGTCCCTCGCGGGTGTGGTAGATGGGATAGGAATGTTTGCGGAAGACTTCGAGCAATATTGCGATCTTTGGTATCACTGCGCGAGTGCCTTCTACTGAGCCTCCTTGATAGACCAAGTAGCCCACCTCGGAGCAGACTATGCGGTAAGGGAAACGACATCAATACACCACTATTGGGCGACAATATGGGAACTTGCAGTCGTTCTGCATATCTATCACTACCAGGGCTGTATTCGAGCTACTGAGGGAACTATCATGTGGCCAGCTGTAAGGTCTAGCTTGAATCATTTAAGCAGAGCTGTGAGAGATCACTGTATCAGTACTCAAGATACAACGACCGACATAGCAGCGGAGACATTGACTGGAGTCTTCTGGATATGGTTCGATCGCGTATCCCCGCACGTGACCGCGTTCTCTCGTGACTGGATTGACGTGATTGGCCAATCTACATTCCTCTTGCATTTTCTCTGTTCTCTCATGGCGCAGACAAGCTCGCTGCCAACATCCATCGCAGGCTTCACGCCCATTCCAGTGTCCTATTCGCAAAGCTCGATCCATATACTCTATGCACGAGCTCACACCGGGTCTCACAAGCCAAAATCAAACGCGAAAGGGAAGAACGTCGACTTGCCCGATGCTCGGACACTCTTTCTCGTCAACGTCCCTGTGGATGCGACGGAACGCGAGTTGACTCTATTCTTCAAATCCTGTGGGACCGTCGAAAGGATAGTTTTTCATGGTGAGGGCGATGGAGCGGAGGTGCCCGAGGAGGAGAGCGAGAGCGAGGGGGAAGGGGAGGAGGGAAGCAATGCAGGCGAGGATGCCGACGACACGGCGCCCGAAGAACGTCCCCGGAAAAAGAGGAAAACGGGCAAAGACGCTGTCCCGCAGATCGTTCCTTTACCGTCCGTTGAGCTGAGAAAATTTCGGTGCACAGGCCGCTCCGCGCACATCATATTCCTGGACGACACGTCGCTGTCACGCGCTCTCCAGCAACCATCGAGGCCGAAGCCATGGCAGATCGACCAATCCGCCCCGATGGGATTGTCACATTACAGGGCTTTGTACGACTCCCTCCGGCCTCCCCTCGATGTCGTGAGAGCACATGCAGACTCATATATGGAGCTCTTCGAGCATGAACAGGCGAAGAAGAGGCAGGAGAGTAAATATCGGATGGGCGAGGCGGTGGTGGATGAGGACGGCTTCACGCTGGTCACGCGTGGTGGTGCGTACGGAAAAACGCTGGGAGGAGGGGTAGGCGTGGCAAGCAAGAAGTTCCAGGGCAACACAGAGAGTGGCGGAAAACGGGCAAGGAGAAACAAAAAGGAGAAGGGAGAAAATGACAACTTCTACGCGTTCCAGATACACGAGAAGAAGCGGCAAGGTGCGTTCCGCAGCTATTAATATATGGATGCACTGTTTAGCTCTTGATACAGAACTTATCGATCTCAAGAGGAAGTGGGAGGAGGACAAGGCGAAAGTGGAGAAGTTAAAGCAGTCAAGGAAATTCAGACCATACTGATCATGGGTCTCTGAACACCATAACTATCTGGCCCATACTCACTAACTCACATTCCTATGTACTAGTGGGATTTTGGAGCCCACTGAAAGATGCGGACTACTTGCCCACGAGCACTATCATTCTTGGCGTCTGGATTGGCATTCAACAGCCATCAAAGCTGCGGCTCAACGCGAACAGCAGGATCGGTATCAGGCCACGGATAGGTGACAGAACATAGATTTCTTGTACAGTGTCGAGCAAACTAATGTACGGTTAGTATAGTACACACAGCTTGAGTCCTACCAATGTCAAAAGCGATGTTGGCCTCTTGCCTAGTCTACGCATCGTACCCCGGTGGTGCGTCGTCGGGAACACCCGCAGAATAGGATGGACCTGCTTCTGCAGGCGTGTAAGTCGCTGAAGTCAGGCAACAAGATTTCAGCGCTTAGCAACGCCCTACCAGCAACCACTTTACACGGACTCACGCAGTGAATCATGCTCATCTGCCATCTGACGCTTCATGTATACTGCTCGCTCTCGTGTCTTCTCCAACACGCCTACGAACTCGAACAACCCCTTGTCCTTGAAGCGGATCTCGGCCTTCGTCCCATCTGTCAACCCGCCCTCGGGGGCCGGCTTGATGTCTACGAGGAGACTGTTCGAGCCAAATATTGGCTGTTCGAACCTGGTCGTCAGGAGCGATGTGAGGGAAACAGAGAGCGATTCCAAGGGCGATGACTTGCTCGTGCCATCGGACACGAAGATGAGCTGGAATCAGAAGATGACAAGCCATAGGTCGTCAATATGTGGCTGACTTGAGTGACGGAAGACGGCGACGCACGCGCTGGTCGGTGAGCCACAGCCGGCCGACATCCTTCAGCTTCTTTGCGCCGCCTGAGCCTCCTGAGTCCGCTGAACGCGATGGTGGCGCATCTGGGACGGTGAGACTGAGCTCTACACCACTGTCGACCGTTCGAATGGTGAGCTCATGCGGCAGAGGGATGGGCGACCGAGAGGGGCTGAGCATCGCATAATTCAGAGCCATGTTGCAGAGTTGGTCGAGTTGGAAGCCTAGGAGGTCGTATCGTCGTGAATCAGAGCCGTCGTCGTCGTACGAATCATAAAGTGAATGTCGCTGAACATGCTCGTTCCGGTTTATAGCGCGCGGCGTGAGAACCGTGGCGGTAGCATCAGAGGCTTGCCATCGCGCTCACGGGCACAACTGAGCATCGGACTACCACATCGCGTTGCCTGGCCGCACACACCGGAGACCGGAGTGAGCTCCAGGCTCTCCTCGACGCTTCTCGAGAGCGGACACCAGAAAGTGCGGAGGTGCGTGGTATGGCACACCAGGAGGAAACCACGAGGATCCATATCCCATCACGTACCTTTAATTTCCTGCGCAGTCCTATCGCGTCCTTCGCGGTAGCGATAATCGTACACGGATCGATTGAATGCGCTCGACAAATACAGTACTAATTAAAGCACAGAACTCGGACACAGACCAGCGTGTGCCGTGCGTGGCTGATCTACACCCATTTTCCTGGTGGCCCAGGGTACGCCCCCGCCGGACACACAATCTAGACGTGAAGGGATAGGACGACAAGAACGGCCAAGGCCAATAGTACAGTAGTAAGATACGAAGGTATCATCAAGCGCTCTGCGGCTCAGAGTACGCGAGCACGACGGGCGGGATGCGGATCATCTCAAGCGTTGATGCGCTAGAGTAGAAGCCAGAGAGCGCGCCGTAGTAGGCCCCCGCGGAAGCTGCAATGCCGAATGCCCCTCCGGCCGTGTTGAGATGAGGGTTGGCTGTAGCAGACACAGTGTCAACATCACCAGATTTATTTCAGGGGCAACAGGCTTACGGTGGAAGCAGTTTCCAGACAGGCAGGCGAGAGCAAGGACTGTCATACCCAACGTCCACACAATGGGAGCTGTCGTCCGGAGTGCCCCAATACTGATACAAGAGGTAAGAATCACCCCACACGGTCGAGATATCCAAGGGAAGCTCACCAGAATACACCAGTGATAAGGCTGATTGATGCCCATTAGCCAGCATGTTACAGCGAAGAGAACTATACTACTGACCACCAGATAGCTAGGTAGATGCCGATGGCGTGAGTGAACTCTTCAGTGACTACACCATTGACGGAGTACGCAGACCTACTCTGAGATCAGCTCGTTTATTTTTGAGGATAGCAGCTGAAACTTACGCAAGACCAACCTGCGGAAGGTAGAGTGCACCGTAACTGAAGTTGAAACCTCCGTATGCGGTAAAGACCGTTCTGAACCAGGATCAGCACGACACGTCGTACTGTGAATGTGTAAAACTTACGCCGCGAAGGTATTGCTACAGAACGCAGTTAGCAACGCATTTCGTGAAGACGCTGAACAACCTACCCAAGGTAAAATTCTATCAACCCGACCAGCGTTTGCGATATACCACCAAAGCTGCATATGATTGTCAAAAAATTATGCTTTTGTGATTCACGGTACGAAACTCACAACACAGCGAATACGAGGACCAGATTGGGCGTGGTGACGCCCCCAGCACCCAATGTCAGCAGGGACGAGCACAGGAAGACGGTGCCGTAGGCCAACATCCCCAAAGGGGCCTACAGCATAGGAGTGTTGGATGAGTAAATGTTGGTCACAATATAAAGTCTTGTTACTCACCGGGTCAGCGATCTGGCGCTGCTGAACATATTGCACTGGCTCAGGACGACGCTCGCGGGTGGAGTGCTCGCGGTGCTCGCAATAGTAGCTATCGTTCCGGGTCAGGACAGTGACCCCGTCGGGCTTTTCATTCATAGACATAGCAGGATCGTGTAGAGGGAATGACAGACTCGAGAAAAAAAGGGTACAAGGACTCGGGAGATACCAGGGCGGCGGACCAAGAAAACGCAAATCGTTCTTATACTCAGCCAAGACGCTGCTGTCTGTAGCGCGCTCCCGCCCGCGCGGGTGATACGACTAACTAGGTTTGACCTGCACAAACGCGTAACGCGGACGCGGAGACCAGGTGGAGATGATGGTCTGGAGCCCAAAAATGAAAATTGGCTATTCGGTGCGTCCCACACCCCTGCGTACCTTACTGCCAGCCCTCGACATCTCGGTGTACGCGAGTGGCGCTGAGACACCGCACTACCGGTACGCGTCGATCGAGACGTCACCAGGGCGGCTCAAAATACGCTCTGAGACATGGGGTCACCTGTCCAGCCTTTGCGCATCACCTGCTCTGCGCCGGGAGTCACCTGGATAGGGAGCCCCGCATTTTTGTAAATTTAGCGGAGTGGAACGATCACTCCTTGGTCTCCGTGCCTAGCTTCATGTTCACTTGTGAATCGGTTCGACCTGAATTTTCCTCGTTTGAGAGGCCGCATGCCTGTTCATCCGCTATGCAACGTCGCCAATGTCCTCCAATAAAGACTTGCGGCGGCCGTAGATTAAAATATGAGCATCTGGCAACTGCGTTTAGATCCCTTGAGATCTCGTTTTGAAAATAGTGAGCGATGTGGCTCCTGCAATCATGTATTGAGCTGGAGTTTGACAACCAGGACTCGGGGTCGTGGAGGAAGCTAGGGAAAGCCTTCAGACCCTGGCTCAATACATTTGTGCACTGCGCCGCCAGTCACACCTCGATGAATTGACACCAATGTCGACAGTTAGCGGCCCGCCATCAAGCAATCGAACCCACTGGCAGCCAAGCCATCGAAGCATCGCCAGTCAGGGGGTCCGCCGGCAACGGGGGCGGCCAACCACAGCTCAAGAATAGGTCCTACGAATCAAAAATGACCGTTGTACCCGAATGTGTAACCCAATACCGTGCAAGAGACGTCCGTAATTCTTCAGGACAGATCTGGCCCGCTGTGAGCAATGCAACGAATCTAGAGTCCAAACATCAAGGTTGCCCAGCGTGCTGAGCAACGAGCTGAGGATGCTTGGACGGCGGTCGGACATTCCTTGATATGGGAGAACGCAACCCTTTTTTGGTCTAGGAGGTCTCGGTAGTCCCATACCAAGCCTGAATGCGTTCACGTGGGGCGGCACCTAAGTTTAAGATCAAGCGGGAACGTTGCGCTAGCCAATAGACGAGTCCGGTTCTTCGAGCTAAAATTAGACAGTAGTGCGGGGCTTGTATCAATCTGCCCCAGATGTCTCGATGAGGGCGGAGTGCGGGGCACGCTGCAGCGGCGGCCGCAGGGTCAGACCTTTGCTAATGGATCTTAGTCGCACTCGACGGCTGCGGGAAAATACGCCGTAGTAACTGGTCTATGGGTATGTTGCCCAGATCAAGGTGGGGAGAGAAATCCGGGGTGGCCGCTGCAGAGTGTAGAGTAAATCTTCCTGCGCAGATGTCAGGAGATCGAGTCAGTGGAAAGCGCCCACTCAAGAGCCAGTGTAACGGCCCGGTATCGTGAGACGAGATGTGCGCATGAACCCCGTCTCATAAGCCTCATTACTTTCTGTGGACTTGAATGAGGAGATAGGACAAGTCTTAGGCAAGGCCAGAGTTCAGTTGCATGCAATTGAAGCTGTAGCGGTGTGAGAACTTGAAGACGTCCGCAGCACTCTACTACGTACAAACGATCCATATCTTTTGATTTTGTCACATACGCGTGAAGCCCTGAGATATCTCGTGAAGGAATGTGCTCCTACACTTCTGAATGGCGAGGACACTCACCGCCGTCGCCAGTGCACCCGCGTGTGTGAGATGGTGGCATCCAATTGGTGAGCAGCTAATGCAATGTGGGCACTGACGTGTCAGAAAACCAGAAAAGTGATCAGAAAGCTGTTCTAAGTCCTGACAGAATAGATATTGACTGCGTTGTCTAGTCTGATATTCCCACTAGTTTGGCCAGCTGCCGGCATATACACGCGTTGAATTCTGGCCACACCAGGGCAGAGTCACTGGCGTGGGAAAGCAGCGGATGTCATCAAATTCAATGCGTGAGGCCACCGCCGCGTTCCGGCCAACTTGAACTTGACCCTTTCTTTCGGATCTCTACAACAAGTCAGCGACCCGGATCTTTTATCCTACTGGGATCAGATTTCGGAAAATGTGGACAGATTTAGGATACTGTATGGTCAAGACTTCTGGAAATGGGTTGATTGTCACATGCATAGAGAAACATATTCAGCTCGACCACGAAACGATGAAACATTTGTATTCAATCCTGACATCCGGTGCGCGCAGGTTCATCCGCTGGCTTATAGAATGGATAAATGACGAGGTTAAACAGAAATGAGTTGATGGGATCGATTGAATGCTCTAAAATACATTAGAATCATTGCGCAGAGCCCGTGAGGACAATCAACGTGCTCCACGCACTGCGGATCCGCGCATACTTTCCCGGGAAGCCAGCCACATGCCAAGTGAGTATGTCCCTCCGTTGTCATAAGATCGACGTTATGTCAAAGCAACAACAAGAAATATACATGGGAGACGTGAATCAGTATAATAAGACGGTATCATGCACTCTGAGGGTCGGAGTATGCAAGCACAACTGGTGGGAGGCGGATTTGTTCAAACGTCGATGCGCGAGAGTAGAATCCAGAAAGCGCTCCGTAGTAGGCACCTGCAGTTGCCGCGAGACCAAACGCACCGCCTGCTGTACCGAGGTGAGGGTCGACTGAAAGCAAAAGAAGGTATTCAGTATGGATAGCTTGAAACAAGGAAGTGACAAGCCCACCGTTGAAGCAGTTGGCAGACAGGCAGGCGAGGGCAATCACGGTCATTCCCAATGTCCACACAATTGGGCCTGTTGTTCGCAGTGCGCCAATGCTATTAAAGTTCAGTATTGTTAGACGAGCGAGTTTTGCATTTTTAACTCACAAGAACAAGCCGGTAATGAGGCTGTGGGGAATCCGTGAGCTCCATGCAGCTATACATTCCGAGCCATATTACTTACCACCAGATTGCGAGGTAAATACCAACGGCATGCGTGAATTCTTCCGTCACAACGCCGTTAACGGAGTATGCGGACCTATAACAAAGTGAGTCATGTATCAAAGCATGCTACAAGCGTTGACACCCACGCAAGACCAATCTCGGGTAAATAGAGTGCGCCGTAGCTGAAGTTGAAGCCCCCGTATGTGGCAAAGACAGTCCTGAGAACGGTCGATTTAACCTCTGGACTTGTGACTGTCTCGTGAAACATCTAGACTTACGCTGCAAAAGTGTGGCTGGAATATATGCTTAGATCAGTACTGACCAATTGACATCGATTGGCTCTACATACCCAAGATAAAACTCCCACATCCCGACCAATGTCTGGGAGATGCCACCATAGCTAGGGGAGTCTATCACGAAAATTTCCAGATCGACAATTTACGGTGCAAAACTTACAACATTGCGAAAACAAGGACCAGGTTGGGCGTCGTGACGCCACCAACACCCAACGTCAGCAGGGACGAGCACAGGAAGACGGTGCCATATGCCAACATTCCCAGGGGCGTCTAGCATACCACAATGACTCGGTGAGCTCCTTAGTGTAGACGATGAGGCTAATTTGCACATACTGGGTCTCCGATCTGGTGCACCGGCGCAGCAGGCTGTGGGGGTGCAGCCCGAGGCTCGGGGCTCGTAGGGTGACTGAAGTAGTGGCCGTTGTTACGGCTATCACCACGGGTGAGCACAGTGACGCCCTCAGTATTCCCGGATTTTTCAGACATAGCGGAGCTGGCTGGAAAGGTAATCCCGCGAGGCGGACAAGGGGAGGACAAGGGCAGGGAGGGGATACCAAAGCGACTACCAGGAAGAAGCAGTGTCTTCTTATACCGTGGCCAAGACGCAAAGCAAAGAGCCGGTTACACGGAGCCACTAGTCCTTATGAATGCTCGCACGGTTGATGGGAACGTGGATGGGGCTGCAGACCGTTCATCGTGCGGGCCCAGCAGCCTAGAAGGAAGATTTCTATTAGGTATGTGCCCCATGGTTAGCGCTCCTACGATTCGTGCTCATAGCGTCGTTCCCACCGTAGTATGAAAAAGGAATCATGCTCGTGTAGCCGAGAATCCAGCGAGACCCGAGCACGAAATCCCGGTGACAGTCCAGTCAATCGTAACCCGGAATGATAGCTGAAAGCAGATAATCACAGTGAAGATGTCAGGTTAATCTTTCCGCTCAGCGTGCAGTTCCTTGGGCAGATATCGCGGCTCGTGAAGATGCCCCCTCTCTTTCCGGCCTTTGCACCATTGTTGGGCGGCATATCTGATAACGACCGTGAGTTCGTCTGCGAGAGGGCTACGTCTGCACTCGCACACTGGTCGGATATGCTCCAGTCCCATCATTTGAGCTGCCAAGCCCCCAACCGGACTTCGCCTCAGGCACGGGCACATTGTCTCGCCGATAGTTTCAGGAGTTCCGTCGTGTCAATGGCGGAAATTTCACTGCGGGATCTCAAGGCGAGGCAATGCTCTGCTGTTGCGAGATGTCCCGGTTGGGATCAAGGAGCTAATTTGGCAGTCACATCCCAAGGTTGGGGACCTCGTACGCGGTATCTAGATCGATCCATGCAACAAGCTAGGACATCCTCGGAGACGTGGTGTAGTTCTTCCGGCCACCTTCGACCCCAAAATACTGCAACCGCCACGGGACCCAAAGGTGCTATGTATGTCTGCAAGGACCGTCTGGTGACTTGCGCAAATCGCAGTAAACGGTCTGTATCCGTCGTTGATTGTGTCGCGCCTCATGGTAGCCGCGATAGCTGGGAAAGCGGTTATTTGGCATCAGCTCGTCTGCGCTCGATGACGCGGCCGGTAACCGGGAGCGCACCTAGTCTTCGATCTTTCTAGATCAAGGCTCGCTTGATCCATGCAATTCAGTTGGCAGAGGACCGCAGCCGCGCCATCGCGCCATCGCGACTCTTCAGTGGGAATTAGGCCTCACGCAACCCCCTTCGTGTGTTGTTCTTCCTTCTCACACTCTTCGCACATCCCACCATGCAACCACCCATTTTCTCACCGGGAGCTTTACAGCCCATATCCATGTGCCATCCCAACGGCTGCAGGCGGCAATATGGGATCCACCGTGAGTGTCAACACTCACACTGATGAGCGGTTGATAGAGCGAAAGAGGATAGGCTCGTCGATTGCCAGTGGTATACGTGCTATGACACTTTCGATGAGGGCTGATTGAATACCTTTGCCTGAATTTATGATTACTCCACGTTGAACAGTAAAGCCCAAGTTCCTTCCGCTGTCTCGGATTTCTGGTGCTGAAAAGATGGTCTATTTACCAATATCTGTACATATATCCAATAGGGGTATGTATGGCTACCTGGCGCAATGGTAGCGCGTTTGGCTTCGATTGCCGACGGCACCAAAAGGTTGCAGGTTCGAGTCCTGCGGTGGTCATAATGTTTTTCCGCTTTTACTATTTTACTCTAGCTACATTTTGTTCCAGACATATGAGCTGTTCAATGCCCACCTGTACATATGTAATATTTCCAGTTGTACAAGTTTAAAAAGAGTATCTGTTACTCAATTATAGTGCAACTGAATAAATACATAACCGATCCTCCATCCCGCCTCGTGCTATCGCAAGCCACACCAGTCAGTCTACGTGGAATCATACTCGTGGTCCTCCCTATGAAACTCGCACGGCTTAGACCCGATGGCAACCCCCTCCCCTGATATAAGTCGGCGAATTTCCATACGATCTGTACCAGGTACCGGTACGCGTACACATAGATCGTCCGTGACATCGTCGATGAAATGCCATTCACCGCACACGCCTTCCCCAAACGGATGCGGGAAAAATTCGTCATCGTCCGGCGCACCTGGCTCCCGGAGGAATGGATGTGCCAGCGCACGTCGCGGCTGCAGGCGACGGGTTGACTCGGGATGCATGGCCTGTTCCACGAAGTCCAGCGCGTTCGCAATATCAGCCATATATGCCTCCGCATCGGGACGCTCAAAGAAAGTAGGAGAAGAAGACCTCGCAGGAGAGTAGCGGGTGGATGACGAAGATGAGAGGGGCGGCCCAGCGCCGCTCTGCGACGATTCGGAGTAAGGATAAAAACGTGGATCAGGGTCCCGCGGTTCACGCAGGGAGGTATTTTGGCGTTCCACAAACTCGCGCCAGGTGATCCCGTCTTGAGTAAGTGAGGGGACATTGCTCTGAAACATACGACCTAAAAATCGAAATCAACAATGAATTACTATAACTGCTGAAGAAATCTGGAAAAATGGGGTCATACTGTGGAGAGTTGCAATCCTTTCCATTTTCTTCTTACCAAAGATGGCGGCTAATTCCATAAGCGCCTGGACATCGTCGCTGGAATGGAATAGGGGAAACTTCCCGGTAAGAAAGAACAGAAGGATCATTCCGGCAGACCAAACATCGATGGCTGAGGTTGCGAAAAATCAGGATGTGAGAAAAACCACCGTGGATATGTCTTGGCGTGTGGCACTAACCACCTGTCTGCTCGCCACACTTGAACAATACCTCAGGTGCGCGAAAACCTCTAGTCCCGGCACGATTGGCTTTCGAAGGTGGGCTGGGGTGTTCTCGGATGAGTCCAAGGTGGCTCGGCCTCGGGGATGAGCTCACCGAATGTCCTTCTCGGGGTAACCAATCTTCTCGGATGGCATAGAACTTCTTATGCGGGTCTCTTTCTGCATACGCCTGACATACTCGACGTCGTATTCTGCCCGGTCACGAACGTGCCCATGAGGGTGTTCTCGAGAGGGTGCCGTATGAAGACAGGCCCCAAGGGTGGGCCCGCGTTCCATTCGCTGCGAAGTGGGTCGCAGAAGAGTCAGTGACAGTGCCACAAAGAAGATGTGCGCTGTCTGGAGAACCAAGCCTCCTTGTATGCGAGAACTAGGCACTTACGCACGCGAGCCCAAAATCGCACAGGGTGCCTATGCCAGTGCGAGGGTCGAAGAGGAAGTTCGCGGGCTTGACATCGCGATGAATGATACCTCGCGCGTGAATGTCGCGCAAAGCTCGGAACATGCAGCGGAAATACGCTTTAATCCCTTCCATCGGTAGAACGCGATAGTAGTCCTTACAAGGACGATGAAAGTCCGTGATCAGACTTCCTTGGAAACACGCTGAAGAGTGCAACACTCACCCTGAAGTCCTCATTGCGGTGGTATGGCATAATGGCGACAATCTGGTCGTGTTGGCGGAAAGCTGTGATTAACTGCGAAACATGACGACAACCTCTACAATCCTCCATAATTGAAATTTCATTCCGTATTCGTTCCGGCCCACTGGTCACGTATATTCTCTTCACCGCCACATATACTTTACTTTCTTCGGGTCGCGGCGTAGACTGATAATATGCGGAAGACGAGGGCGAATGGAATCCATGCCATGGCGTATTATCCCATTTACTGTGATAGCCGAGGTCAATGGCTTTGTACACGGATGAAAAGGTACCGGTGCCGAGCCGGTCGACGATTTTGTAGTCCGGGGAAAGCTGAGGTACAGTCTCTTCGAGGTCAGCGATTTCCTCTTCGATTTCCTCCTGCTCCTCGCGTGGCTTCAAGTATAGGGTGAGCTCCTCATTGGATCCATCATGACCGTCGTGGTCAATGCCTTCCATTCCAATATCGTAGTCATCGTCTTCGGCCTCGAGGGGATCGCCTGTATTGAAATCCCCGTCGTCGTCGCTGAACATGTCGCTGTCCTCGTCTTTCCGCTGTAAAGACTTGTGGGCGTATCGTGGTTTCGGTGCAGACCAGTTCGAATTGGGGTATAATTCAGCTAAGTGCGAGTGGTATTGTTCCAATTCGGGAACATTGTAGGCATTGTGTGGATCATCAGAAGAGTTGAGGTTGTTCTCAACCTTGTTGCGTTCCTGTGCTTTGAGGTACTGGCGTCGGTAAGCTTTGTTGCGAGAATCAGAAGATGGGACTTCGAGAGGATTGGAGGAATGCTGCGACAGTAGAGCTGCAGTGGCCATACATTCAAACAAAAGTGATGATGGTTCAACAACGAGTTGAGAGACTTCCGGCACAAAATGCTAAGAAAGAGAGACGGCACAGTGTAACGGGTCCCAATAACCAAGAGTTTAAGAAAGCCAGAGGTGTGCTTGATTGCGAGTGGCTGCAGCTGGAGCGCCTTGGAGAAGTCGCGAGCGCGACGCGTCGACTCCAACCAATCACGTGAAAGGTCAACATCTACCTCTTACAGGAAAGTAGGAGGCAAAAAAAATGACCACCGCAGGACTCGAACCTGCAACCTTTTGGTGCCGTCGGCAATCGAAGCCAAACGCGCTACCATTGCGCCAGGTAGCCATACAATGGGGGGGTCCATGTTGTTTTATGATTCACCTGTTGATCTATTCGCTGCTGACTGTCGCCCATTCGCCGTGAAGCGGCTACGCTGGGAGCCATTTTGTAAACTCGACCTCGAACTCGCTGATGTCGTCAGGCAAGGCGTGAGTTTGGCGCAGATGCACAATCTGGACGACTTTCGCTATCTCTGCCTCGAATTGCTCTCTAGCTCAGCATTTCAGCAAATATTACCCCTGGTCTTTGTCCTCTTCCTCCCTCTCCTCGTGCTGACCGTCAACGCACACCAAGCCTCAGTCATCTCATCTTGCTACATGGTGTTGGACGCCCTAGCTGGTGTATTACCTTGGAACTGGTTCGAGGGGCATTCCACTCCGAGCTCCAGTCCCGAGAAAAGAAAATCTAAGAAGAAACATGTACGCTCACGAGCAGAACAGGTCGAGCAGGAGGGGCACAAACTCGGTATGTATAATACCCGAGGGCACTTAACACAACATAATCTATGTCACAGACCATATACATACCAATGGTTCAGATGAGGGCTACTATCCTGGACTTGTTAATATTTCTGGGACGTACTGCTTCATGGACTCTACACTACAGGTGCGCGGAGTCGAGATGCTGTACTTGTGTCCGTGCTGTACTTACGCGAATGTCGCAGGCCATGGCCTCGTTGTGTTACTTACAGCCATACATAGAAGAGATACACGCGAAGGCCGAGGCGCTCGATGTACCGACGCCCGTTGTCGATGCCTTCCGGGATCTGCTATTGAGTAGGTACTGTGCAGCATTTATGAACCATTCTATTTATCCGTCGTCTTAGGATTAAATATGCCGACTCGATCTCCCCACGCTATGCGTCCCATTGACATCATTAACGCACTTTCGAATCACTCTCATGGGAAGCACAACTCATTGTTCTCTTCACGTGAACACCAGGATGCGCAAGAGCTCTTTCAACTTCTGTCGGAATGCGTCAAGGGCGAGGCTATTGCTGTCGATAAAGAGGGACATCGTGATCGAGGGCTAGGCGGTCTTGCTCACGCCCAGGGCTCTGCAAGACGCGAAATTGGTAAGAGCGTATTCGATGGGTTGACTGCGAACAGACGTAGCTGTGTGCAATGTGGTTACACGGAAGCCGTGATGCATTTTGCCTTTGACAACTGGCAGCTCTCTGTTCCTCGTTTGGTGGTGAGTATGCATTGTCCACATGTATGCGTCGGCTCATGGTAATGTAGGGCCACTGCCGGATAGAAGACTGTTTAGACGATTACACACGTTTAGAGGTTCTCACTGATTGCATCTGTCGGAAATGTTCCATGCTCGCAACCTACAACCGGCTTGAGCAGGAGGCGGAGAAGCTCACGGAGTCGGCACACGCAGAGCATGATTCATCATCTTCGAAGAGGAGGCGTGCACGTGAGGCTCGGAAGCTTGTCCAACGCGTGAAAGCTGCCTTGGATGATGGTCGGATCGAGGAAGACATCAAGGGGGTGAAGATGGAAAAGGTTTTCAGCAAGGCATCTACCAAGCAAGCCATGATTGCACGAGTATGTTCAGATCTTCTCACTCCCACTTCGTATCTGAAACCAATCTTCTAGCCACCACGGGTTCTCGTCCTCCATCTCAACCGATCCATGCACTACGGTCACTATGCCGCCAAAAACACATGTAGAGTCGTCTTCCCCGAGATCCTCGATCTCACCCCTTATACCACCTCTGGTCAGTTGTCCACCCTTCCTTCCGTCCCCATTTCCACGCCGCCTCCGCCCATTCCTCGCTGTCGAACTCCCACACCTGCCACCTTTGCTACTCCCCGCACCTTATACCGCCTTGCCGCCGTCGTGTGCCATTATGGTGAGCACTCCTTCGGACACTATGTCTGCTTCCGCCGTAAGCCCCGTCCTCCATCAATGGGCACTTCCCGCTTCGTTCCGCCAAAATTAGCGTGCCTCCCCGGATGTGAGTGCGAACAATGTGAACGCTATGGAGCTGTCCGCGATGATGGAAATAGCCCACCACAGCATGGCTCTGGTTGGTTGCGGATCAGTGACGACAGCGTACGTGAGGTCGGGATTGAGAGCGTTCTGCAGGAGAACTCGGGAGCGTTCATGTTATATTATGAACGTGTTATGATGCCGCGGCCGAGCATCTATTTGTCTAACACGCCCCGCAGCTCGGAAGAGACGGTGCGTCCAGAAGGCGTGTATGCGAATGGATCTAGCGTGTCACTGCCAAATGGTGATGGAGATGCGAGTGAGGCAGAGCCCATGAAGCCCATCCCGAGGACAATGGGTCCGAGAATCATCCAAAGGGTTTCTGCATCCTCATCAAAGAGCCATTCTATGTCCCCTCCCGGACGAAGTATCATCACCAGCCGATCATCTCCCGCGTCGCTATCAAAGCCCAGCCAGAAATCGAATGGACATGTCCCAGGCGCTGATGCAGCACACGCAACGTCACGCCCCCCTGTAGATGAGAAGTCGGTCCTGAACTCGTCATCGGTTGAAACCCGGGGTGATACTGTCCCGGTACGCTCTTCATCTTCCTCCAAGCCCCAGGCGTCGGCGCCGACATCGTCACTCCTCCCCGCCAGGCCAGTGGTCCATCATACCGCCATCCCCTACCCACACCCCATATCACCCACAGCTGAGTCTCCAATTTCTCCAGCGAGGGCAGTAGATCTTCGCGCATAGCGTTCATCCTGCCCAGACTTCGATTTCCGTTTTTGTATCAATAACCATTGCCATCGCGCTACCCTCTCCCAGGAATATCCGTACACCCCACTACTTACACTATTTACACGTTTTGCTGTCGTGTTATGTATTGCCCTCCTCTCATATACTGATATCGGTCTTGTCATTTGGAATCAACTTGAATACATTTGTCGCTTCCGGATAATAACCTCGCAGTCTCGTACACATAGATGTCCTAGAGATTCGAACGCAAGAAAGCAGAAGCTTGTTCCTCCAGAGAAAAGACAGTCGCGTGAATATATACATACTGTACATGAACCCCACCCATCAGCCGTACCAGACGTCGCGCTGAACTACATCACGTACAAACGGTCCAGGACATAGTAGAACCCATAGGCTAATGGCGGCACGGCGAAACTCGACACAGCTTGGATGCAAGTCGAGGAAAGAGACGATATGGACACGGTGGTCACCAGTAGACGTAGCGCTCCACTGTCCGCTGCTGCTTTGGACGCGTGTAGGAGATAGTGCGAGTTACGCGGGTCACGGAAGGATACCTGAAAGACCTGTGAACACATACATCCTCTTGGGAGGATCACGGTCACATACCAGGCAGTATAAAGTTCCCCAGGCTCTAGCTGGACTTCCACAACCTGGCGCCCCTGAATACGATACATCAGTAGTTAGAAACAGCAAAGAGGCAACAGAGTACTTACGGCATAGTCGAGGCGTGTGCCAACTACAAGCCCTTCTCTCCTTCCGCTAGGGTGCTGTACGGCGACGATGTCTCCGGGCTATTGTACGACACCAAGTGATCATGACGCGGGTATCATCGACAATAAGACAGAAGAGACTCACGACGATCTCTTCACTAACAGTAGACATGGTGGAGACTCGAAGGACTTACGTGGGATAGGCTGGGGCTGGCGGAGAAGAGATGTAGGAGAGTGTTGTGGGGGGGAAATTGGAAGAAATGGGCAGCTTTTATAGATGTGATAAGATGGGTTCTACAAAATGTTTCCAAGCGAGCTCATGGGCACCATGAGGCAGCATCCAGATCACCGTCGTCGGCTTGTGTAAGCTGAGACAGTTTATTGCCCATTGTCCTTGTATTTGAGCACTCTTCCATGACCAAACAGTCATTCTAGATCTGGCTTGTTTGTACACCAAGTTTGTTGTACTCTCGTGTTGGCCCCGCCAGGCGGAGAATTCGCATACTTGAAACTTGGAACCCTCCGACACTTGTTACAATCGAAGCAGCCAGAAGATTTTATGTAGTAACAGCCTGCGTAGACCCAGATTGGACATATCCATAATAGTGCATGGTACAGGTAGCGCCACCCTGCATACGTCAAAAGCACGCACCCAAGCCTCGCGGCTTCAAGAACATAGTCCATGCGTTAGTGAGAGGCGATCACAACAGACGGAAGCAAACAACTCGTGTCGCTGGCAGTGCTGTGCGAGAGTGGCTCTATGATTGGACTCTGAGTCGACGCTAACAACAAAAACGCGAAGAGCACGTTTCGGGCACGTTGCGGCATTGTAATTTACACCATGCAGCTAAATGCCCATAAACACTACAATTACAACTCAAACATGTCTAATACGATACAAGTCCACACATCTCATCGTCCTCGGAGAGCAGCCCACCAATCTCGCAGCATATCGCGTAAGCTCAAGCTTGTGGCAGTACCGCCTGCGGTTCCTTCAGTCGACCTCCCCTCGCCCTCCGAGTCGTCCTCGCCGATGCCGGCTCCCATCCGCATGCCCTGGGCGCCGACTCTCTCAGCAAGGCCCTGGAGGATAGCCTCCGCAGAATCGCGGTAAGTCCTGTCTAGCTCCGTCCTACGCAAGTAATATGCCCTGCGTACGGCATATGGCGCCAGCCCGTTGTACTTCCTCACCAGAGCATTGACCTCCTCCAACGCCTGGTCGTGGAATGCCTGCTCTCGAGCTTCCCACTCCACATCTCGCAAAGAAATGATATCAGTGAGGGTCAGAGAAGGAAGCAGTGCGGCTGGCTGATTAGTTGTCAGCATCCGTATCGCGCGCCTTGTCCACGACTGTTTGATCAACTCCCGGAACGACGCTATGGCAGATTCCAGTTCTGCATGAGTGTTGATGGTCAGTACAGGTCGGCAGATGGTTCCCGCGACACTCACCGCCCTGAATCTCTACCCAAGGAGGAGCAGCGCCCTGGCGCTGGACGATACGGTTCATCAAGAACTCCTCTCTAGCGATGAATGGATTTCTATCTTGTACTGTCGAAGCCAGAGGTTGTCCCCGGCCTCTAATCGTCTTGAAGAGGCCTTCTTGGCGAGCCCGCTATAATGCAACGGTGCGTAAGTGATCAGGATCGGCGACACCAGCAGTGACGCGTACTTCAATTCTATCTTCGACGAGATTTGCCCAGCCCTGCAAACTGGCGGGATTGAGCCGTTTCTGAATGGCAGCACCACCTTTGATCCCCAAGCGGTAGTCGAGAGTAGACTCCCTCGCTCTGGATAATCTACCGGCTTGCTCAGTCCGCCGCCGAGTTTCCCTCTCCTTCTTCGCCTTCTCATCGAGACGGGACTCGGGCGCGTTCCGTGTCGATACATTTGGAAAGTGGCCGTAGCGGATATTTGAAGTAGCATGAGAGGGTACCTTGAAGGTTGTGAGCCATGGCTTGTGTCCTTCGACGGCAGGCAACAGTGGCTCGTTAGGTAGATACCGACGGGGAGCCTGCTCCTTGGCGTCTTCCATCGCAAATGTGTCGTTCGTGAGCGAGCTTGATCCTTCTGGAAATGAGACTTTCGGAGGAGCTGCCTTCAGTTTCTCGTCTGCAGTCCTAACGGGTCCGCCACGCAGCGGCTTGTACTTGTCGACCAACATGCGGAGCACTGCATCCTGCACAGACTCTTCTCCAGTCCAGTTCTCATTCTGACCCTCTAGTGTAGGGACCCTGCTTGTCCGCGCAGGTGTCTGCGCTTCCTCAGCCTCCTCTCGCGCTGCATCCTCAAAGAGCTTGGAACTCGCGCGATGATCGGATTCAGTACATTTCGCTGCATTTCTCGAGAGAGATCTCGACCGTGCGCCGTATAAGACTGCGTACTTAACAGACAGAGCGTTTCGTATGTGTGGGAGAGGACGAGCAGCAGGGGTCATATAGGTCGTGGTCAAAGATAAGCCAGACTTGCGGCCATCGTCTATGTGATCGGAGCGCTGAGATGATTGATAAGATTGCGAGTCCGCACCGGACTCGGACTCAATGAGTGATAAGTGTGATGGCATGGTGAATACATTTTGCACAAAACATACTCTTGTTATCATAATACATCAGTATGATCAATACATTCTTACTTTCTTCACCAACACACTCATCTTCCCCTCCTTCGTACATCTTATGCCAAGTTAGACGGATAGAGATAGTCTTCCAGCCCGACAAAGTTCTCCTTGATACTGCGCGCAGAGACAAAACGGTAGAATATGGACATGCTTCCCGCTTTGTCGTTCGTGCCACTTGCACGAGCGCCGCCAAACGGCTGCTGGCCGACGACCGCGCCCGTGCACTTCTCGTTGTAGTAGACATTTCCGGCGGAGTTGCGTAGTGTGTTTGTCGCGAGAAGGAGCGCTTTGCGATCCTGGGAAAAGCTATCGTAGATGTGAGTAGGTTAGATGCAAGACCGTCATGAAGCGTACATGGAACCAGTAAGAGCGTATGGCGACGAGGTGTCGATGAGCTCCAACGTCTTCTCGAAGTCAGCGTCTTCATACACGTAGACCTGTCAGTGGTTTGTTTAGCGCAAGGCAATCTGCGATAACGCTAGCGCATACAGTGAGCACAGGCCCGAAGATTTCCTCCACCATCGTAACCGACTTGGGGTCCTTGCTCAGGATGACAGTCGGCTGCACATAGTACCCGACAGAGTCGTCCGCTATAATGAGTACATCAGCACATCAACACGAGTATCTGCAGGGGCGCGCGAATGCAAGGAGTTCTGCTTACCAGTCCCACCAATCAGGATCTCGCCACCTGACTCCTTGGCTTTCTTGATATACCCAGTAATCTTGTCAAAAGCTGGTCGTCCACTACGGAAAGAGCAGCGCGCAGTCAGCGTATCATTTGAATTGCATATGCAACCGCGACATACATGACAGGTCCAATGAAGTTAGTGAACTCCATTGGTGAGCCCACTTTGAGTTTGGCAGTTTCTTCGAGAAGCTGGTCCTTGAACCCAGAATTCCAGATGGAAGAGGCCACATATAAACGCGATAATGCAGAGCATTTCTGGCCTGAGTCCCGATGTTCAGTTCGAAGGGCGTCTCCTTTATGTGCATGATAACTACCTTGGTACTCAAATGCGCCACGAATAGTTTGCATTACAGCGTTCTTGATCTCCGCTGATGGGTGGATGATATGAAAATTTTTTCCACCTAGGGTAGAGTCAATACATGATACCGAGGTCTTGACCCGAGTGATACATACCGGTTTCGCCGACAATTCTGGGGTATCCTTTGTATTTATCAAGGTTCGCCGCGATGTCTTTCCAGAGCTTCTTGAACACAAATGTACTTCCCGTGAAATGCAGAGCAGCAAAGTTCGGGTTCCCAAGAACCTGAGCGACCACTTCCTCGGCAGGCCCAGGAATAAACTGAATGACGCCCGGAGGTATTCCCGCCTCCAAGAATATCTGGTGTACAATGTAGTTTGAGTACGTTGCAGCGGGAGAGGGCTTCCACACGACTGTGTTCCCGACAAGGGCAGGTGCTACAAACAACCCCAATTTCAGCAGAAGCGATCGGTTGGATCAGAAAGTGAACTTGCCGCCGGGAAGGTTACCACCGATGGCGGTAAAGTTAAAAGGTGAGATCGCGAACACAAAGCCTTCCAGGGCGCGATATTCAACCCGGCTGTCCAGAGAACTCGTTGGTAGTGCAGACACAAAGACATCATTGCACGCACTTCCAGCATCCTGGCGTGTTTTGGGATGGTTGCTGCGCATACAGCTCCTCCACATACTTCACACCAAATCGCAAAAAGTCTGTAAGCTGCTCGCCGAGGACAGTCAATGGGACGGATGGACAAAAGAGATCAGATAAGCGTCACCTCCGCCGCAGCGTCGATTTCTGCCTGCCAGGCATTTTTACCCTGGCCAAGGATAGTCGCTGCCATCAGCTTGTAGCGATACTTCCCGCTGACGAGATTCGCGGCTTTCAAGAAGATCGCGGCGCGGTCATTCCAGGGCATCGCCTCCCAATCCGCCTTCGCAGCGAGAGCACCTTCTATGGCAGATGATACGGTAGCTTGGTCCGCTTCATGGTATGTGCAGAGGTGCTTCGCATGGTCGTGCGGCATGGGCTGCTTGGCCAGTTTGCCGGTCTTCACCTAGAGCCCGCCAAATGAATTGCATAGAACTGAGAGCGACGATTCGGACGATACTTCTGGTACTTACTGTTTTGCCGTTCACGACGCAAGGAACTTCGAATGGCAGCTCCTTCTCCATCTGCGCGATGGCAACCTGGAGGGCTCTCCGCTCCTCCGAGCCCGGAGCATAGCTCCTCTGCGATTCAGGATACCAGAAATTTCTCAGCGCTGCAATTCGCATTTACAGATTTACCTACCATGGGCTCGTTGGAGACGGCGGGGACCTTGAATGCTGCGAGCTGGGGTGTAGCCATGGTAGAGATACGCGTCTCCTCGCTCACCGACTATATGCGGGCTCAATGGCGTGGGAAATGCACCTTCTAAAATAAGGTAATGCGCCTTTCCTTATAAGGATAGCCCAGATTGCACTGGGTCGGGATCGGCGCAACCATTCAAAGCATCGACACGCTCCACAAGTCCGGGAAAATTCAGTTCTCCGGCCACTCTTGAACCATTGAGATATTGGAAGACGAGGTTTACCCACAGCCAGGGTCTATCCAGCACATGACCGCATGGGAACACTGAGCTGAAACTGACAGTACTGACAGTACTGACAGCTCGAGCCTTTCCTGGAATTAATAAATGATGTCTGGGGTAGATCTCCCGTCTGCCCATTCATGGACCCGATAAAAGCGATATAGCCGAACATAGAAGGGTGTAGGTCCTTATGGATTGTGCTCAGCCTTCGAGCCTATTTTGGAGCAGATTGCCGCCGGGACCGACGGATTGCACTACGAACCCGGGTGTGCGGGAGACTGCAATATTTATTGGCGAAATAAAATGGTTTTCCCGATCAGGCTTTGCTCCAAGATTCGTGAATCGGGAGTAAAGTAGCTGGCTTTCGGTACCATTAGCCATCCTTTTGGGGGCTCGAGGTCACTCGCACGATCCGAATTTAAGCCAATCGCTACCATTTTCCACGTAAACCGATGAACAAGACCATGTATGCAAACCCTTGAGGTACTAAACCTTTCATAACAAAACTCCAAATTCCCATCGTTCAAGCAACCACACCGTTCGCAGCGGGCGACAGGCACGTCGACACTAGGACCTGATCGGTCCAGGTTCCGTTAGTGTCGGTCGGAGTCTCGCTCAGCACGTAGTCAGTGGCGAAGTTACCAGCGGCCCAGCCGACGTAGCCGAGGATCACTGTATGGTAAGATGCGTGAGCACATCGGCGGACGCAGTTGTAGTCCGGAGGAGCTTACCATCCGAGTTCTCCGCCTGGTAGTCGACTTGCTCGCAGATATACTCTTCGCACGACGCGGTGTTGCCTCCACCCGTTTCGGTATTGAGCGCCTGGCGGCCGTTGCAGCGCAGCCACTGCGAGAGCGGCTCCCAGGCATCGTCGATGTTGTTCGTCACACAAGTGTCACTCGTGCCACTGTATGTAAGGGATGTGAGCGGGGCCCGCCTGTGCATGGCGAGTGACTTACGAGTTGTCGGAGTCAAGGTATTTATGGACGTCCATGATCAGGCCGGTGATGCCGCCGTCGGGGTTGGTCACTGCCGCGAGAGCAGCAGCAGATCCGCCGGACACGAAAGTCTCAGCGGAAGTGTAGTTGTCACCGGGGAGAAGGATGTACTGGGTTGTGGCACTGTATAAAAGATGAGGAGGAGTGAAGGAGACGGCAACTGTATCACTGACCCGGCCTGACGAATGGCAGTCACCGCAGCCTGGACAGTCTCAGCCCAGAGAGTAATCTGAAAATAATTGAGTAAAATCAAGAACTGATATAGGTTCTCGCTCACGTTGGGCAAGTCGTGGGGCTCGTTCATGCTATGTTAAAAATCAGACAGATAGTAGAGAAGATTCAAAGCAAGCTACGAACACGCCGAATAGAATCTTGGACTCGGTGGCGTAATAAGCCGCCAGGTTTCCCCAGAGCTCGGCAAACACCTCGTTGGAGGGACCTCCTTGACCAATGATCTGCAAATTATCAGCACAGATGAAATTGTTGGCATTCGCGTTGTACGTACGTCACCATCCCAACTATCAAAGCGTAAGGGTCATCGAAAACGGTAAATAGTAACAATCACTCACCGAGCGTAGTTGTGAAGATCAATAATGCAGCTCGCGCCCGTAGTCAGACACGCCTGGACAAGCGCGTCATATTCGGCGAAGTTGGTCTCGTTGAGCGTGCCGGTGATCACGTTGTTCGTGAGGAACTGCCAGCTGACGGGGAGGCGGAAGATGTTGTATTTATCGTCGTTGACGAAGTGCGTCATCTGGCCTGCGCCATCCGCGCCGTAATACTGCGTCAGAGGCGGGTACGCCGAACTCGCGGTGTCATCGCCGGACGTGTCCATGCCGAAATCTACGAGGCGTCAATATCCGACAGGCGAGCTTAACGAGTACATCGCTCACCGAATCCAGCGATGTTGACACCAGCGTACGTCAACTTGCCGGCGGAGGCAGGGGGCGTTGCTCCGCATGTGCTAGTGGGCGTCGCAGAGGCCGTCGCAGTCGCAGCGGTGGAAGACGCATCGGCAGTGGGTACACACTGAGAGTAGTCTGGACACCGTGAACGTAAGCGGAGAGTCTGTGTGGGAAACGTATCACACACAATCGTTCTGGTACTCGCAGGTAGCACCGGAGACGCAAGTCGTGTCGCCCGTCCATGTCTAGAAAGTGTTTAGCATATAGATGCTATGTATAGATAGACTTTGCTTTTACCTCGCCACCGCCTGTGCGCGAAAGGTGGTCAGAACAGCATGTTGCGATAGGGTGGAGTGAGAAACATACACTGTGCGTAGAGCGCGGCCTGCCCGTGCACGGAAAGGGCACCAAGCCCGAGGAATCCAAGTGCGTGTGTAAACTTCATGGCTGTCCTATGCGTCCAAGCTCAACCCTGAGTTTGCCGACAAGAGCTCATGCAAGCCCCCATTATATACTCCCCAGGTACTTAACCCGAGCACAAAGTGAAAATCGATGTAGTACCCAGGTGTTCACAGCACCACGCTGCCAAGAGCTAGCATCGTCCCATAAAGGAATGCAATGAAAGTGCATGCTACTCAGGTGTTCACAGTACCACATTGCCAAGGACCAGTATTATCCCACTACAGTGCCAGTCCGAAGGTACACCGAGCAGGATCAGCCCAGCTTAGGGCTATAATATGATATTCCTACCCTGATTGTAATGGAAGGCAATCGGCTGACATCAAGTCCCATAACAGAAGCCCAAAGAGAGCTGAACAAGCTGCAAAAGAAGAAGTCATAATCAGCGGACCATTATCGTGGCAACTTCGGTGCGCGGTTATAGAGTCTTAGGGTAGGGGAGAGAGGGACGCATTGGACGAAAGCGTAGCTCGTGAGGGTCCCGCTGACCTTTCCCAAAGCTACCGTAGATCCCGCCAGGAACCTCGTCAGCGGTTTATGTTGTCTCTGCCTTGCAATAGGCTGTTCAAGTGAGTGCGACCTCCTTATGATGCGCGTCTGCGTGATTTCCCCCGAACGCCCTCTTCCTATAGAATGTCATTCCATCGATTGACCCCTACCTCGCAGGCAATATAGTCAGCCGACGAAGATAATAGGCACGACGAACCCACGAGATGCAGTGCACAGTGTATGTAGATTGACTGGGCAGCAATGAAGCTTATGCGTGCGCTGCGTGTGCCGAAGTTGAGCTTGAGGACGAACGTCCCAGTTTGCAGCTTTCCTGGCGGACCCATTGATCGTGCCTCACCTCGATCGCCTCGGCTCTTTGCGCTCGCACCCTGAGAGCGGGACCCTCGAGACGTCATGAGTTTGTGATTGGGTAGACTCTACCCGACGTGCCCGTGGTTCTTCCGTCTAGGGCCCGCAAGCTCATGCTCCGCTAGATGCCCAGTCCGAGTCACTGGCTTGCGCGGGCCCCAAGCTTACCTCCAAGTTCCCGTCTCCCGGGCACCATAACGCCCGTCTATCCCCGCCAATGGACGTACATTCTATGTTACTTTGCAAACAAGACCAGTAAAAGAGTTATCCTCGGCATAGTTCGTCGCCTTGAGGGCTGTATGCGATGCCAGGTCTTGTTTTGCACCATCACGATGGGCGAAGACGGCGTGATGACGATGAAAATGCGCCGTCATGTGGACTCGGATGCGCTGAGAACACCTTTTTTGGGGGTCCCTTTATTGTCCGCGAGGGCCAAGTCCTATGTAGGCAGTAAATACATCACGTATAGGCAGCCTGGTATGTCAGTCATAATCGAAGCAGTAACATCGAGGTGAGAACAACTTAAGGACCAGAAATAAGCTAACGAATGGTGCGCTGCTAGCGAGCTTATCCTTCAAGAAAGTCTGAGAATAGTCACAGACATATCGTTTAAGCTACAAGCTTCAGGCATCGGTAGTCGGTTGGTGCGATTCAAGTCGTCAAGTCGGCGCTTACACCTGTTGTCAAGCTTCAAGCATTAAATTTCAGAGCTTGAGTCATTAATCGATCCCACATACTTCAGCAACTGTAAGAGGCGAGCTTATGGCATTAGACGGACTCAAACAAGGGCTTCGTAGGTATATAAGAGACAGTTACGTCGGGGTGAATACAATCAGCTAACTAAATAAGAATATATGTGTGACCGACCATGGTATCGTACACGAAATCAGCTTTATCCAATATAATGACGTATGATGTAAGACCAAATCCTATATTACCAGGAGATATACGACACGCCACCTTGAGCATCCCAATTGTCTGTGAATGTCCATGGGAGCTGCAAACGGTGGTCAAATGGTAGAAGGCAGCTCATCGATTTTCCTCTTCAAGTCTTCCAGGAAATGGTACGAATCGAGGATGCTCCCAGCACATCGCGTGCAGCCTGCCTGGGCCGACCGCGCCAGGAAGGTCATGGAAAACACCACATCCGTTGTCGGACGGACGGCAAGTTCCTCCCTTGCACGCCTCTGGAAATCGTCCCACCACTTCGGCGCGCTGAAACTGTTGTACGAAGACCCATTGCACTGCATGCACTTGACCTGATCCGATATCTTGAGCAGCTCCACAGCTGCCTTTGAGCGCTGATGATGCAGGACCAGCAGACGATGGTAAGAATACGCCGTGATGAACTTAAAGTCGTCATGCAGGGGACAGTCAAGGATATTGATGCCGAGCGTGTAACGTGACGCGATCTTGGCCTCCTCCTCGAGTTCGAATCTTGAAGCAATGGCGTACACGCGTGTGGGTGCCGCCTCTACAAACTCGGGCGCGACGAGCAGCCGGCGAAGACTGTCTATGGCTGGGATCATGTCGTATTTGGCGGCAGCCGTGAGGACGGAAGATAGACTGTCGAGCGTACGAATGGGAGGGTCTGGCATGGGATAGACGAACCGCAGGAGGGTCTCCAGTACCGCCTGCGATTCTGATACATCAACTACTGGAATCTCCGGCTCTGGAGACGCTGCCTGGGGTAATGTGAACATGTGCCTGAAGAAAGGCGACGCTGCGGAAAGTATGCATCGATGAGCGCGAAAGTCGACAGCGTCTGACGAACGGAGAACAAGGTCTGCGTCGGTGAAGCCGAAGTAAGATGAAGTCATGGTGAACAATGGGGGGGAGGGGGGTGGGGACTTCAGCAGCCAAGAGGTTCTTATATTTGCAAGACACCACGCACGCGCAACAAACCAGCCGCAATGCGTGCCCTTCTGAGGATGACAACCAAAGACTCCACTCGAATCGGGCACGTGGATATGACGAGGCTCGAGTCACTGAGGACGCAGAGTAAGAGACGTGTATAGCAGGTAGCGGAATAAGATAAGTAAGCGGGAGAAGAAGCGTATCGCAGGGATGAATTGAAGGGCGCACTGGGGGAAGAAAGATGGCGGAGCGAGGCACCGGTGTCGCACATAAAACCTCAAGACCATCTTCTAGTACTAGCCCTAACTATGTCACGAATCCCCTGAGAGCAAAGCGTGATGAAAAAATTGCTGTGCTAAGCCTTGCACCGCTGGGCGCTGCCAGTCAACATGTCGCCTAGCAGAGCTCCCAGTCCGGATCTAAGGATGCCACTGATTAGGACGCTAGTAGCGAACAGTCACAACAGGAACGCGCACAGGACACAACTAGCCAACAAGATTATAATGCAGAACGTGTCCATCACGGACCACCAGGCGTCTCGTCTCAGCGTCGACGATCGGAGCGTTCTCTCGAGCGCCGCTCTCTGCTGCTCCGGCGCTCGCGGTCGTGCGTTCCTCGAGCACTCGGACGAGGCGACCGCGAGCGACGCGGAAGATCTCTAGAACGGTCTCTGCGAGGCGTTCTGCTGCGACTTCGTGCGTGACGCGTCTGACGGCGGCCACCACCATCCACATCGAAGACCATCCCGTATCTGGCTCCGTCTCCCGTAGCGCCCTCTCTGTAACGCCGTGTCGCCTCCAAATTGTCTAAACCTCCGAAACCCGTCGGCTCTCGCCTGCCTGCCCCTCGTCCACCTCTCGGAAGACGAGGCTCCATCTTGGGGTTATTCGACCAACTGGTATTAAGGCGCGCCACCGATTGCGAGCTATACCACATGTTAGCTTGTCACCAAGAGAGATGACCTGAGTGATACTGACAAATCTACCCATATCCGTCGCTCGTCAATCAGGACGTTCTGCATTTTGAAGTAGGCCTGGACTCTCCAATTAGACAGCATAGAATCAATTCACGAGGACGCTCACTTGTTCAGCCTCCTCCCGTTTGTCAAATTCAATAAAAGCATATTGAAGCGAGTCCCCTGTCTTCTTGTCCCGGATAACCTGACAGCTCATAATGGTCCCAAACCGGGAAAAAATAAGCTCCAAGTCCTCATCTCGCGTTACCGGGTTGAGCTTGCAGACGAAGAGAACGTTCTCTGGGGGGCGAACGTTGGCAAACGGTAGATCTCCGACCATTTCCAGCGTCAGCGCCGCTGCGCGAGCTGCCTGCTTTCGGCGTTCATTTTCCGCCTCCTCTTCGGGCAGAGTTGCGAGGGGGTCTTCATCCTCAGCAATGCGTGTGGAGTTATCTGGGGGGCGTGTGGGGATCAACTCCGGTACCACAAGGCCAGGAGGATCCTCAAATGGGTCGTCTGTGAGATCTGCTTAGCACCCTGAGAGCACAACCGCATTGCGCAGACTCACCCAAAATCTCAATATGCCTTATCCTCACATCTTTCAATGGTCTACCCTCCTGATCCGTGAAGACGTCGTTGAGCTTATACAGCGTATCGAGGCCCTCCACGACATGTCCGAACACAGCATGTTTTCCATCGAGGTAGTCGATTTCGTCCGCCAGTGTGACGAAGAACTGGCTACCACAGCCTCCCTTGCCTTGTCCCTCGATGGCAGGGGCGACAGCCATCGACACCGTGCCCCTCTCCCTGTGCTTCAGACGCGGCACGAACTCGGGGCTAAAGTAGCGAGGCTCTTGTTTCCCCTGCTGCGAGGCAATTAAAGACCAGATGGACTCGCCTCCTGTACCTGTGGCCGTAGGATCTCCCGCCTGGGCCAAAAAGTCTTTCGAGACTATAATGTACTATGAGCATCGCGCTAGAGCCAGTGGAGAAACGTCTTAACGTACCGTTAAAGAAAGCATTGAGATTATAATAGTAGACTTTGCACAATTTTAGGAAGTTCTGGCAAGTCTTTGGACATACTTCTGTTTCGAGATCGATAACAATGTCGCCGAGAGATGTCTCGAGTAGGACGGACATGCGGAGATCGCAAGTTGCGGCTGAGAACAGTGCGATGAGCGACCATAGAAATCCACTTTGTCTGTTAACAAAATACACATATAAGAGAACAAAGAAGATACATAAGACAGACACTGATGGTGAAACGGTATCATGCTTGCCTTCCAAGAATAACGTTTCAGCAAGCGGCACGGGTTCGACTCCCGTTCAGTGTATTTTTACGCTTGTGGAATTCCTTCGTTTTTGTGCTTTATACATCTAAACTACAAGATCATATCTTTAGGTATCTTTATCTTTTCCCTGTCCAGAGGACTTGCATGCTGGTGCTGTGTAACCTGCGGTACTCTACAATGTGGATGTGATATATGCAAATATTTCCTCAACTGCCGCATGTATGTCTGATGCTAAGTATATAATGCGAAGGACGATATTACGGGCGAGAGCTCCGATAGTATTAAAGAGCGTCATACATAGATACGAGTTTTGGCGGCAGTTTCACCAGCGGCGACTACTTAGAGTCTAAAGGGGTGAAGGAACTAGAGCGCTGGAAGAACCATACGTTTCGCAGCGACTTGCGGCTCATAGCAGTGGGGGCCTCCAAAGTTTCTTGTCGCGGGCTAGATTCCCGCTGGCGAGTCGACGGCGCAAAGAGCGATCGTCGCCGACTCGGAACGGTGTCGTTAAACTCTACCCGCCGAGAATGAGACTGGGCATTTCGCTGGTCTCCGGGGGAATGGTAGGAAGAGGGCGGTAGAGGCTGCTCCCTGAGTGGCTTCGAGGGAATGTGCACAAGAAATGTCCCATGGCCATTTTCTGAAGCGTTGCTGGCGTCATCCGGCTGCGCTTCTTCGCCTGGTACGTCAGGAGAACTCTGCACTCGACGTCGGAGCGAGCCTCTTCTCCACCATTGCACGGCCGCCTGCGGTTCTGCTTCAGCCTCGGGGGGAGCGGTTACGGGTGGTGTGGGAGAATGGTTGCTGGACGATGACGGAGAGACAGGCCGTGACTGGAAGAAGTATCGCACGTTATCCACCATCGACCGCGCCCGTTTGGGTCTAAAGTCCTCTCCAGAAGGCAGCACAATACCTTGACGGATTGTAGTGTCTGGGGCCAGTTCAAGAGGAAGTGATACAATATGGTCAATAGGACTAGGCAATGCGGAGCCCACATTCGATGAAGCTGTCGATGAACAGTGAGACTGGGCGAGGGGCGACTCCAACTGCGTGCTAGGGCTCAGAGTCAGTGGAGACTCACACTGAACTTCCGAGTCCACCTTGCTCAGATTCGACATGACACTCAAAGGCATGGAGGGCAGGGTTTTCTTGCGACACCGCGACGCCAAAGACTTGGCCTTTCCAGAAAAGTTTGCCAAGGACCTTGCATTCGCTTCCGGGTCACTGGGCTGTTCAATGCTGCCGTCGATGGATCCCTTGCGTCGGGAAATCAACACGCTGTCATATCGCCTTCTCGCAGCAAGAGTCATAGCACCAGTGATACTTAGTCCGGAATTCGAACGCGTCATCCCCGTCCCAAGGCTTTTGCGTACTTGGAAAAGCTCCTCCTCCCGTAGCTGTGCCTGAGAGCGCGCCGCCGTACAAAGTTCCGAGAAGACGTCATGCAACCCGTGGTCCACATGTTGACGTACCTGAGAAGATGGTCTTGCGATACGGGCAGAAGGATCGAACAACATAGGAGAGAAGAAGGCCTTAACGGACGCGGTAGAGGAGCGACGACTAAGCGGCACCCAGGTGGCCATCTGTGGTTGTTGTTCTTGCCTCTGACTCAAGCTGTCTAAGCGCGACGGCGGACGTGATCTGTATTCCATCCTGCTGGTTGAAGGCAACGGTACTTCGTTAACCTGATCATCCCCTTGTCCTTCGAGCTCCGAAAGGGACTGGATGGTAGGAAGTGGCGTTGCAGTCCACTCGGGAGGGTACTCGTCTACCATAACGCCATCCAGGCGCTTCTCGTCTATGTGCAAACTTGGGATGGGCTCGTTAGTCCACCGAGGAGAGACCGCAAGAGCATCCTGGATAGCCGACATCCAGATAAGCTTCTCAGCATGACAAGCTGCAGCGAGCTGTACATGGTGGCCGTGACCGAATAAATGGAAAGAAAATGGCAACGGCGCTATAGGGCAGGTTAGATAGGTATCGTGTCAACAAGATGGACTGACACTCACAATCGTCATCATCCAGATCCAGCATGTCAAAGCCGAGTAAGGAGAACCAATATCGCGGTTCATAAGTCTTCCCATTCCTGGGGATCTTGACCAGGACAAGGTATCCTCCCACATACAGGAAGGCACCAAAGTACTTGGCCCGCAGAGCCCCACTCCCGGGAGGATGTAACGCCGAGGGATGGTGTACGACGTCAAGTGCGCCCGTCAGATGGCATGGACCGAGGGACGCAACAAATTCGGGCGTCAGTGACTGGGCCCTACTAGAAGGCGATGAGCTATGTCCATGCCCATGACTGCTCGCCGATGACGACGGAGAATGAGTGAACGCGATCCGCGACGCGATAAGTGCGGATCGGACAATATGCGCCTGGACTTCGCTCGCGCGGTTCACGAGACTCACAACAAGCCGCATCGCCTCGCTTGCCCTCTCTACCGCGTCCTGGCCAATCTCTGCTCTGGATTCGCCCATGCCTACGCCTGCTTGCAATGACTGCCGCAACGTTACAGCCCCAGCGCTCTGCGTTCGTGCTCGCTTGTTCTTGAGTTGATCGAGTAGCAGCGGATACTTGCATATTCGTTGCACAGGCTTGATCAAATAGTCCAGGAGCTTCAGACGCGTCGCCTGTGACTGCGATGACCTACAGCCATGACCAGAACTCGAGCCCGAAGTTTCAAGTTTGCGCTCCTGGTCGATAGGATCCGAGCGCACTAGGTCCGGCAGCTGTGGTCTTCGAGGCTTACGGTCCAGGTAGGTCGCGGACGAAAGCATGGCGAGGGACGAAGTAGAATGCCTACGTTTTGTGCGAACAGACTCAGTCAATGGAAGGCTCGGAGCAGTAGTGGTCGTGGCCGACGAAGGGAGAGGGATGGTGTCCTCAGTTGAATGTCCAACTGAACAGGATTCAGACGATGCAACCCCATCGGAGTCGATAGCCTGAGCTACGAGCAACGAACATTGCTGTTCGTATGTATCCCACTCGGCGGGATGCGTCTCTTGCACATGGCGTATCAGGTCCGTCGCCTCGTTGTGTCCCGGACAAAACGTCTCGTATACGCTGAACGAAGGTGCCTATTAGAACGCATATAACAGTCAGCGCACACGCATATATGCGCATCTTCGAACCGCAGACGCACCTGGTTGATAAATATCTCTGCAACAGCCGCAACGGCCTCGTCAATCCTATCCAGCACTACAGGCTCGACGAGCTCGATATTCGGCACCCTGCTCAGCGTCCCATCCTCACCGAGCATGAAAGCCTTCCCAAGCCCGAGAGAGCTCACCGCTCCCCTGAGTTCCCGCACAAAGATGTCATGGACCCGAAGGAGCTCATCCGCATTTCTGCACACGGTATGGATATCCTTTTCCACAAGTATTGGACGGCGAGTATACTTGCTCTTCGTCGGGGAACTCGGTAGAGAAGGTGGAGTCGGCAACTCATCTTTGCTCGCCTTGCGCTGCGGCTGTTGTTGTGGGTCATGCCCTTGCCCACCTGGCGCGGTCGACCCCAGAATCTCTCCATCACCGTTTCCAGCGCCCTTTTCTACGTCTGCATCTCTGCTCTTGTCTTTCGTCCAAAATGATCCCCCTATGCAGCCCTCTTTGACCTTTTCCTTAATCCGCTCTTTACCCTTCTCTCCGCTCTGCTCCTTAATTTTTCCCTTCTCTTGAGGAGGGCTATGCCCCGAATCACCAAGCCCAATATGTGACGTTGACGACGTTGACGATGGAGAAGGGGAGGGGTGCAGGAAGGACGAACGTGATGATGGGAAATTGCGTGCAAGTCCGAGCGATGGAAGGGAGAGGGTTGGCGTGAAAGATGAAGGAGGGAAGTTGGTAGTGAGTGTCGGAAGTTGTTCCAGATAAACCTGTGAAAATATACGATCTTCAGTAAGTAGAACGGCATAAGAACTAAAGCAAGGCAAGACGTACAAACACGAGGGCACGCAGATCCATGAGGTATCCCACCTCAGTCGCAAGGAGTTCCATTAGCGCATGATACTTCCTCGTCCCCGCTCTCAGTTTGTCCAATTCTATCTCCGTGGCCGACTCCACTTTTCGCGCCTCTTCCCGCACACTCTCTGTCTTTTGCTCCAAGTCCCCACTCGACTTCATCCCAAGCATATCTAGATGCGGACTGCTCTCCTCGCTCTTGCCACTCTCTTTGCTGCGAAACCGCCGCTTTCTCTCCCTCCTCGGCCCCCCTTCCCGATCTTCCTCCCCCTCGCTGCCCTCCGTGTCACCCTCGAGGGTAAACAGCTTCCTCACGCTCCCTTTCTTTGACACCGAACCCCGACTTATGACCATCGACGCGCTCAATGGGCGCAACGTACGCTCGCGTAGCCCACTTGGCGGACGCACGGGCGACGAAGATGCGGTTCCAGCACGCGCGTGTGAGGGTGTCGCAAGCAGTGGCCTCGAGAGGTTCGGAGGCAGAGACATCTGGCGACGCGGAGCTGCGACGTCCGCGAACACGTCTGCCGAGCGCAGATAATGGTGTCGTCCACGTACTATCGGCGCGGACACCGCCGCAGAGCTGGGTGCGGGAGATGGGGACGACGGCAGAGATGGCGAGGGGGAACTTGAGCTCCGAGACAAAGGGAGGGCAGCCACGGTTGCAGCACGCGAGCTCCTGCACCTGCTCGCGCTCCTGCTCAGCACTGGAGACGGTGCAGGCGACGCCTGCCTGGACGGGGGCGTCGGCGGTGTGGCCGTCCACGTCGGTGTCCCTGACACAGTTGGCTGAACACCGTCGTCCAAAGAAAGGGCGGTCAACGACGACGCTGCCGTCTGTCCTCCCCGAGTCAAATAGTCCCCTGCGTCGCTAAACTCTGTTGCCACTGCGTCTCCACCGGGATGTGTCTCGCTTTCCGCGATGCCTTGCCAGCTCGTCTCCGCGCCCCGAACAGTGGCTGTCGCGCTAATGTCTGGCGTCAGACGCGGAGATGCCATGATAGGTGTTAGAGGCACGAATGGAAGCTCTGGCCCAGGACCGGAACCCTTCCGAGGTGTTCTCAAAGTTCCCGTCGCGGTGGCAGTCGATGTGCTAACGCTGGGGCTGGCATGCGGACCGGTGAGTGATTTTGTGGGCGTCTCACCGGGGGTATACGGCGGTGGGCGCGAGGTGTAGAGGAGGCTCAGCGCAGACGACGAGGGTGACGACGGCGATCCTGATGTTGAGGACGGAGACGACAGGGTCATGATGGAGGTAAATATGTTGGGCTTACTGGAACGGCGCGCAAGGAGAGCGGAGCGTGACTGAGAGGATGATGTGCTCTCCGCGGCGCACTTGACGTAAGAAACGGTGCAGGAGGTGGCCGACGCCTTTGTTGGTGACGGGGGCGTGCAAGAGGGCATAGGCTGAATGACTTCCATGACGGTGACGAGGACAAAGGTGAGGATGTAGCTGCCTGGTAGACCCTGGGTCGCCGTGAGAGTAATAGAGTTGGAACAAAAATAGGAACTGGATCAGGAAGAATGACAAGCCGACGTCGATGTGCAGACTTGCCGAGAGGTGGGAAATTGGGCTGGTATAGAGGATGCGGGGTAATGGGGGAGATGAAGGAGAAGAAGGGGGAGGTTTGCAACGTGCGGACTGTTCGGATGGTGAGTACAAGTGGGGCGGGGGCAATGAAAAACCAACCGAAGAGGGGAGAGAAAGGACAGGATGATGCTGTCAGCCCCGTGTGTGCAGCGAGACGACACTAATGGGTGGCCGGTGCGGATTGGAATGGAGAGACGGTGGCAGATAAGCGGCCGAGGAGGGGGCAATAGGCTGGGAGCTGCGTAACAAGAAAATAGAGCAGATGGACTTCTGAGCTTCCTGGCCGCGGGAGGACGAACGGAAGGCGTGCACAGGCCGAGAGAGAACTGCAGTTGCGATTGGGTCTAATTTCTAGGAGGGTATCGATCGCGACGGCGGCTTGCACGGTGTATGTGGAGCAGAGACCCTGGACGACGTATGCTGGTCTGGATACGTCTGGGGTATACGACCAAGTCAGGCGGGAGACAGCAAGGCCAGCGGGTGGGGCTGGGGGGGCAGAGGGAAGGGCACGGTCATCTGGGCTGGGATTATCTGCATCCGAGACGTGTGCAGGAGAGCGGCGGACCACGTTCGTCTCAGTCGCCTTCCCCCGACGCGTCCCAGCCAATCACGGCCCCCGCCGTCTGCGCGTATCCCTGCGAGTCGTAGCCGTCCATTTTATTTCCTCCCTTCCTGCCCCCCGCCCCCCTCCCCCGCCACTGCCAGTACCGTCTGCAGATGGCTCCCTGAATGACGCAACAAATGGTGGAATTGTTCAATTTGCATCCGGCCCGACTTGCGGTGCGTCACGCCTCCGCCCCCTTGCCTTTTTGGGAGCCCACAAAGCTATTGCCTTCTTCACACTCACATCTCCCCACGCTACCGAGCTAGTCCTTTCCCGGACATCCTCCATCCCCACATCCATCCCTCCCTCTTCTCCAATTTCGTTGATGGTCGCTGCTGATAGTCATCGTTCATCCCTGGAAAGGCCAGCGATTCGCCGAGATGAATACCCACGCGCACACAAAACGACTTCGCCGTCCGCATATAAAAGCATGCGACTCGTCTTTTTCGCCTCCTTCCTCGCCTCCTTCTCCAACGACCTGGTTGCGACCGTGACATCATCCACACAGAAGCTCCTACAATATCTCTTGCCCTCGCCCCGCCGTACCCACTGAGCATGCTAATTCTCGACCATTCTGCCTCAAGGCTTCCCATGGACACGCTCACAATCAAACGAACACCTTTCTATCAAGGAACTGCTTGTATGCTATTGGCAAGTCGCATATTACATCTGCTTCTGTGTATGTCACTATCACACTCGCCATATGCTATCAACTTCCGCTTTATTGCTTCCACATTGCGCCACGGATCTTACTTCCCATCCCTGCATCGTGCACGCCAGATTCACGCCGCCAAACGCGTTGCTAGTGCGGTAAGATTGCAATCTTTCTGTCTTGGCATGACTACTCGAAACCATCAGACTACCTTGTTCTTTCGATCTCGAAGCTCTCCATTGCTCTGTCGCAACCACACCATCTCCTTCCAGACATGCTGAGATCCGGACCTGGATGCAATCAGGCATGTTGACGGCGACCTGGCCGACGGCTGATCTACGACCATTTGATTTTAGCCTACAGATGCAGTGCTAAAAGGATGCTATGGAGAATCTGCATGTTAAGTAAACACGCCTGGAAGTCTGGCGATGGGAAGAGCACACTCCTGTGGGTACACTTTAGCTCGGATGTCATCACAGAAATAGCGCACTTGCTCTTACACACTTGCGATGCGTATATATCCCAACATTACCCGCGGGTGTGTGTTTATCAGCCTATCTCTCCCAAGCGACGTATCTCACTTATCTTTGTTCTTCTCAGTGTACCTATCCACGCAGAAAACCTCGCGGTGACGCTCCACAGGCGTATATCACTCTCGTAATACTCTGCAACCCGGCCTCCGAGTGGCACATGCACTACACTAGTTCGCACCAAAGTCGAGCGCAAGTTCCGAGCTAAGATGCTGTGATGTTGAATCGCTACTCCACCCGCGCCGTTGTATTTGATGGATTAATAAGCGCACGTTCGTCCCTGACAAGCCACAAGTCCTTATATTGTTGTTTACACGTACAGTATACAAGAATGCACGTTCATACTACAACTATCATCTCCGTGCGTTTGATTGTCCCAAGGGTCTATATTCACGATCCCCATCAGAGGCTCGTCGATTAATGACCTCTCTTCAACTCTTTCTCCCCGCTCGACCATCTTCCGACAGCTGGTCAACGTCAGGTGATTCGAAGAAACAAGCAATGTCTGCCCCGCAATTACGCTGGGCTGTCCAGAAAATGTCTAACAGCCTTCCGATGCTGCCTTTATAATAGTCGTTCTTCAGGTTCGATATCATCTCGTTTCCGCGGCATGAGTTTGTCGTCTGCCGCACGTCTCTCCACACCTCCCTCCCAAGGTACCACACATCAGCCCGCACGGACGCACCGGCATCAGCAAGCACCGGAGCTCACTATACCCACGAAGTCTCGCAACACGGCTCCTCTGGTCTTCCCCGCACCTGCTGTCCGCTACAAGCCTGCCTCACCCCAAGCTCTCGCTACATGTCGCCGCACAGGTCCCACCATGTGACTGCACTGCTATTGCGGCCTTTCTGCGTGGAAAACACATGACGTCCACGATATACAAAGCTGCAAGGTACAACGCCTAGACCGCAGCACGCTGGTATATAGAGGCAACAAGCTAGTAGAATTCGGAACCTTACTCAAGTACATCTCCACAGTTCAGGCAGGCGTGTAGTCCGGGATCAAGGGGGAAGGGGTCCGTCTCAGGCATTTTGAATATACCTAAAATCTGGCCGAGGAGGTGCCATTCGCAGCATATGAACGTGTGAATCCCGCCGGAAGCTTATACAGATAGAGTGGGACTTCTGCTATGTCAGAACCCAGAAGTGCCGACGTTCTGGTAGTGATAACGCGGGCAACCCTTGATTCGATGTGTCAACGAAGTAAGGTGAATGTCGCCTACAATAGTGCGCTGGAGCGCCATCGGCCATCATGCAGAATGTTGCTGCAATTCGGAGTAAAGAAACGTACGTACGAGATGCACCACATAGGATTATCTTTATAAACGAGACGTCGATGTGGCGAATCGCCGTCGATTTGCCCGACTGTAGAACCGCACGGAAGCTTTGTGTAACGTCAAAATGGTCACCGTGTAAATGAATCAGGTGCACGAGGCTAAGGCTGGTATGGAATATGTTCAGCTACAACATGGACACAATACGCGACTAGGATAACACGGATGACAGTCCGTCGGAAACTCTCGAATATTTATTTAGATTCATCTGGGCAGCCCATGCTTGCTTAGCAATGGCAAATCAGATACGTGATACCAACTCACAATGTTAGGAAGCCTCTCTTCTAGTACGTAGTGTGCATTCCGCTGCACCAATGTATGCAGATCGTCTAGTATAGCTCGACGCTATCATCTGCCCGCGGCTTGAATATAATATTTTCTCGCTCGGCCTCCCGGCGGCGCGCTTGCTCCTTATCCAAAAACCGCGCCAGCGCGCGCAAATTCCCTCCGCGATAGACGCGGTATATGCCATGTTTGTGTACATTGTACCCCTACAAATGTCGGCCGCCCAACATAGAATCCAATGTCATAGGCACATCAGGGGAGCGGAATCCATCAGTATGGTATCATTGGGCTGCAGTGGGAACAGCCTCTCACCCGTGGAACCCGCTCGGAGAAACGATCGACACCTATCCGCTTCAGCGCCGGGACACCTGACGCACTCAGCTGCTCGAGCTTGGGAAGCTTCCGCACCAAGACGTGGAATGCCTCCAGTGACAATCTCTTGCACAGCGACAGCTGCAGCCGCTCGAGCGTCGTGGTGTGCTCTGCGAGGAAGAATACGGCATTGTCGGTGAGTCGGGTCAGGCCGACTAGGGTCAGGCGCTCAAGCTGAGGGAGCGTGGCCAGTTCTAGTAGGGTAAGGTCTGTCAGGCGCGCATTGACTGCATGTCCAGGGAGAAAAGGTTAGCAGAGGAGACTATGAAGAGGGGTTTCAGATGATAAGTAAAATCGCTTACAGCTTAGATCCACCGTTCTCAGCCTGGGACATGCCCCCACTATGCTCACGATCCCGTAGTCGGTGATTTCTTCTACGTGCGCCAAGGTGAGCACGTTCAGATGTGCGCCCAAAGAGGCTATGGCTCGGGCAGCAACATCCGTCAGGGTCATGCAGCCCGACAGGCTCAGGTGCCGGATGCGCGGCGCATGATTCACAATGCCGCTTATTGCTGCATCGGACAGTCTCACACAGTGTTCAAGCTCCAACTGACGGAGATTGGCCAGATTATGATGGGAGGAGAAAACGAGTGGCGTGAGTGTATCAAGCCAAGAAGCCGGGCGAGAGGTAAAAACGGCATATTGCGCAGGGGAGAGTGGCGGGGAGAGTGCAGACGCTGTGGCACCAGACGCAGGTGACGAGGGGGGCAAAATGTGCGGGAAAGCCTTGTCTGTGAGACGGGCGCAATGATTAAGTTTGAGGTACTTCAGTTTCGTTGAGAATGTCCATATATCCCGAATGCATGCAGCGGTGAGTAGAGGGACGTCACATAGCTCCAACTCTTTCAGCTCCATGAGGGAACGTGCCAGCGTGGAGACGGAGGGATCGGTGAGTGTTGTAAGACCATTCAATTTTACTACCTGCAGTTCCGTCGCGGATGTTGCAAGCGATAGGATCGCCTCATCTGTAACCTGTGTACAACCGGAGATGTCGAGCTCAAGGAGATCCGGCGCCACTCGGCCGAGAAGGATTATAGTACGGTCGGTAAGGTCAGGGACGCCGGTCAGACGAACAGACTCGAGGTTGGGGCACCAAGGAAGGATGTGGGCAAGGTCATCGTCGATGATTCCGTGATCGTCGTCGCGAGTCAGTTCCAAACGGACGACATCGTAGCAGGAGTCCTCTGTCAGCGGGAGTCGGTTAGTTAAACTCATACCTTCTGTGTCTGGTCGCAATAAAGTTCTATGGTAGAACGAGAGTGGAATGTGCGCTGTTCATACGGAAAGGGTGTCCTCTCCGCGGTCGTGGGGGAAGGGGATCAGTGCTTTGGCTCATGTAGCAAAGCGTTCAGCTAGCGTGCCGGCCTACGTCCGGCCACAACGATGCAACGTGGCGATGGACGTTGGCTATGGCTACAAAAGCGTAAGCCACACTCACTACGAGCCGTCTGAGCGGGAAGAGCTGGAACTCACGCTAAAGATTTCAGATAGCTGGCCAAGCAGCACAAATCTGGAATACAAAACGCCGTGAATGGTGTCAGGTTCCGTGCTTCGTTCAAGCTGCAAGGATGTACCCCTCCACCACCGATCTGCTACACTAAACCGTACCTCTCGTGTGTGCCAGCAGACCTCGATCCTCGAGCGACCAGCGAGGCGACCGCGCCAGAGAGCGCGACGGCATTTGCCGTGGCCTGCGAGCGACGGCCCTCGCTGTTCAGCGCCGTTCAGCTTTGAATCCCCAGTCTACGATGAGCAGCCTATCGTCCACTTCGTCATCACTGACAGCCACACCGTCCAATGTTAACTTAAGCAACACATACTCTCCCAGTTCGCCCAACGGTCCTGTCCGAAAGTCATCCAGTCGCATCCCAGTAACCCCTGCTGTCCTCCGTTCCATCTTCGCGTCTTCTCGGAGTACTTTGGAGGAAAGGTCACTTTCTCGTGTTGCATTCTTCAGGCATGTTGGCCGCTGCTCTTGTTTTGAGTACGCCCGCTAAGGCTTTGTAGATTCACCGGCTTCTTGCTCAGTTGCGTGGTTATCAGCCTTACCGCCGCCCGAGGTCGCGGAATCAAAAGCAGCGCTGCTCTTCTCGGTGTTGGTGTTGTCTAGTTGCGCATTGTCTCGGGCTTTGTTGCACTTTCTGTCCTGGTAAATGTTATTCGAACATAATCGTCTGAAGCCTGCCTTAGTTCCTGTTCAAATGGGCCGGAAATACATCGCTTACCCCACGTGCTCCCAGCAGGCGATAAGACGCCATCAACTCGTATTTGCACGTCGATATGTTTAAAGAAAGGGCAAGCTTGACAATGGCCAGGGATGTCATGTAGTGGATGGAACCGAGTTGTATATTGGAATGAAGAGCCTCGCGCAGACAGTATGTCAGTCTCACGGCGGGGACCTCACTCAGCGCCGGCGCGTTTGCCTACATGCGTGGAACCATATATATTCCTGCTTTCTCCGTCTCCTGTTGCTCACAACCGCCATAGTCAGCAACATGGGAGGGGCAGAACTTCCGCTGACGAACACGGCCCGCAGCCGTTCAACACATCCAAGGCCGCTTCTCCTTGCGCTGTGCGCTGTAGTCGCGACCGCCACTTTTCTTGCATACAACGCTTATCTCTCTTCTATAACCGCTAATGCGACCAAACGTGTTCAACACGTTCCTCTGAAGGCTCAGCGAATCCTTGCTCAATGTGCAGCGTTGCAAGCGGTACCCGGCCCGCCAGAGAACTTCCTTGCAAGAGATACTTCGGACAGGTTTGAGCCGGGCACAAGGCCAACTCTCATTAGGAATGCAACTCTTTGGACTGGTGCGAGGAACGGCACGGAGATCGTGTATGGCGATGTGTATATGGACCGCGGGATAGTGAAAGGTATTGGCTATATTCCCCAGGCGTTGTACGCAGGTGTGGGAGACGTCGAGGTTATTGATGCGGGGAGGGCTTGGGTGACTCCTGGGCTGGGTGCGTTGAGTATACTGATCATATGCATACTGCAGCTCACAGACAATGGGTGATATAGTCGACTTGCACTCTCATGTCGGTGTTTTTAGCGCACCCTTCCTTCGCGGAGCGCAAGATGTCAATTCAGGACATGGTCCTGTTCTACCTTGGTTACGGAGCATTGACGGATTCAACACGCATGACGATGCTCTTGAGCTCGCAATTGCTGGAGGCGTCACGTCCGTTCAGGTCTTGCCTGGAAGTGCAAACGCAATCGGTATGTGATCATCTACTCGTCTTTGAGCGTAGTTCGTTGACATGTCCATTCAACAATAGGCGGTCAAGCATTCATATTTAAGTTGCGCAAGACTTCTGACAGATCTCCAACCTCGATGATTGTTGAACCCCCGCATACCCTCAACGGTAGCGAACCTGACTCGTCTCGGCCATTACGCTGGCGCCACATGAAGTGCGATTTCCATACATCATATTTACTTCATACCATCTCATGCTTATACCTGTGTTCCTCGTCAGACAAGCGTGCGGCGAGAATCTCAGGCGGTATGGAAATCGCATGGACTCTATGTGGTCCTTCCGGTCCGCATACAATGAGGCCCGCAAGATTAAGTACGCACAGGACACGTTTTGCGCGAAGGCTGAGGCAGGATTGTGGGACCAGCTTGAGGGGGAGGATTTCCCGGAGAGTTTGCAGTGGGAGGCCTTGGTAGACGTCCTTAGAGGGCGCGTCAAGGTGACGCTTCTAGCGCTGTCAACTACGATTCACAGTGGCTGATGATCAGCAACGTAGATCGCAAATCACTGTTACGAGGAAGTTGACCTCGACGACATAGTCCGAGTATGTGCTTCCATTTCTATAATCCTGCTTCTTCTCATTCTCAGTGGTACAGCTCACCAATGAATTCCAATTTCCCATCGCTTCTTTCCACCACGCATCCGAAGCATGGTTGGTACCCGATGTACTCAAGAAAACGTAAGGGTTTTAGTACATGCTTTTTCCACGTCATTCGTTAAACTGTTCGATAGGTGGGGAGGGACGCCAGCTATAGCTATTTTTGCTACAAATCACCGGTATAAGCGAGAATCATATCGCGGGTCCGAATTTGCTCCTCGTGTGCTCGCAGACAATGGCATCCCGGTTGTGATGAAAGTAAGGTCCAACTGCATTGGGGATGACGAGGTAGTCATATTGATAACGCATATAGTCAGACCATCCCGTTCTGAACAGTCGTTACCTGGCGTACGAAGCCCAACAAGCGCACTACTATGGTATGGAGTACATGTCACCTATGGAAACATGGACCCGCTCACCCTTGAGCATACAGGCCTGCCGCCTCACCTTGCTCTTCTCTCTGTTACCGCTATGCCTGCCTCGACTGCTGGAATGTCACATCGTATTGGTATCCTCCGCGAGGGTGCAGACGCTGATGTCGTGCTCTGGGATACTCATCCTCTCCAGCTCGGCGCGACACCCAGGAAGGTATGGATCGACGGCATTCTCCAAGTTGGCGCGGATCAAGAGGCCATCGTCATCGGCAAGGGCAAGGAGGATCGCGAGTTCCAAGAGACCCCCAGGGTGCCGAATTGGGACAAGGAGCGCAGGAATGCGGTGAAGTGGGAAGGCCTGCCGCCACTGACACCGGCGAAGGAGAATGGACGAGTCGTTTTCCACAATGTGGGGGAGCTGTGGGTACGGGATGACTCTGATGAGTTGGGGATACGAGAGGTGTTTAATACCCTTGATGGAGAATTGGTGGATGTGGTTGTAGATGGGGGCAAGATAAGCTGTGTGGGGAAGCACTGTATGGGCGGTATCAACGCCAACTCGGTGATAGATCTCCGTGGGGGTTCAATTTCGCCTAGCTTAATGACTTTTGGTTCGCCGATAGGTATCGAAGAAATCGCAGGCGAAGTGTCTACGGGAGATGGCGCCACGTATGATCCCTTTAAAGTGGAAGTGCCGCAGGTGCTTGGAGATCCTGGAGGCCTAGTAATGGCGGCAGACGCATTGCAATTTGGAACGAGGAATGCTCAGTGAGTTTTTTTATTAATCTGTTTCCTTCGGCAACTGAATATGAGTAAAAGCATTGCTCATCGCGCTGGGGTGACTTATGCAACATCCTCTCTCTCAAAGACCACTCTCTTCGCTGGGCCATCGTCCATATTTGCCGGACTTTCTGTCACCTTCCGTACGGGTGCTGCCCACGCACTGGAGCGCGGAGCCATTATCAAGCACATTACTGCCCTTCACGTCGTGATTGGACGAGCGGCGCCGTACTCAACTACTCCTTGGGCGAGCGTCAGCACTCAGATCGCCACATTAAGGAATTTGTTGCTGAATGGACAACCTACGAGCACGGAGACGGGGAAGTGGTTCAAGAAGGCTGCTCAGGTTGGTTATCAACATATCTGTGATGATGTAAGGTCATTGACGTTTCGCGTAAGGGTGCGATACCACTGGTTATCGAAGTCGGTAGCGCAGATATTATGGCAACGCTAATCAATCTAAAGAACAATATTGAGCAAGCGCGGGGGTCTTTCATGAAGATGGTATTTGCTGGCGCAGCTGAAGCTCATCTTCTGGCTGACGACATTGGTGAGACATCGGTACCATATTATTATCGACGCCGGCCCAACTCAACTTATTCCTCTTGCAGCTAATGCGAATATTGGTATCATTCTGCAACCCATCAGACCGTTCCCGAACAACTGGGACAACCATCGAATGTAGCTATTCCGAAAGACAATAGTAAAAAATACCGGACTCATTTTCTCTTCTTTTCAGATTGGCCGGCCCACCGGTCACAAATGAGACATCGTTGACTGTCCTGACGGATGCTGGTGTCAGAGTGGCAGTTGGTGTCCTCGAGGCGTGGCAGGCTGGAAACACCGGATTTGATGTTCAATGGGTATAGTTCCTTTCCCTACTAATGATAGCTTTCGTATTAACCACCTCTCAGGCTGCGCTGGAGACAAACGGTCGTATTGACAGAAAACAGGCACATGCCTTAGTGTCGACGAACTTGGAAAAACTGCTGGATGTAGATGGATGGATTGGAGATGACGGCGACCTGGTAGCATATGAGGGGGGGAGTGCGTTCGATTTCTCAAGCAAGGTGGTTGCTGTCGCCTCGCCTGGCAGGGGGGTGGTGGAATTGCTATGAGGCTCCGGAGGCCTTTATGCTAGGATATCTATTCACGGAATTCTATCTATAATTTTGAGTCTTGCTTCATGCCATTGGCCGTAATGCTTTCTGTCGCAAAACGACCATCGATCCTCAGACATAACAAAAGCGCTCGTGCCACCATGCGTCTCAATTTCTACTGCTCTCTGTAATCCACTTGCACTCAGTATTTCCTCCCCGTGTCTTTTGTTGTCGGCTATCCAATTTAGTGACTGTCTAGCTACTCAACAATGGCGGTGTCTGTTTCGCCTCTGCCGCCGTTCCCGTCCAGCCGAGCGCGAGCCTCCCTCTCGCCCTCTCAATTGGCGACTCTCAACCAGACGATCTCCGAATGTCTCGCACAAACGCTTTCTTTGCCTACAGCTCAATGTAATAGCCCTGCTACTCGCAAATTTCTTTCCACATATGTAAAGGATGTAGCTCATGTAGTCCTCCAGTCTCTCATATGGGACGAAGATCAGACGCAGTCGAAGATGTTCTCTTCACTCTCCCAGGTCGAGCGGACGATCCGCCATCGCGCATTCCTACTCGCGGAGCGGCTCGCAGCGGATGGGTCACTCGACCTCCAGACCCTCCTTGATCTCGGCGTCGCCTTTGGCTCGACGAATGCGACGCGACTTCGCGCACTCTTCTCTGCTGCCCACTCACGCGCCAGCTCGTCTCTGTTATCGGCTGTTCAAAATGAGGTTATTCCAGCGTTCTCGGCGCTGCTCTTAGAGCCATCTCAAGGCCTATATGGCCTTCGCAAGACCGCACACATCGTACTGTGCCTCCTCCGACCTGCTCCAGCGCATCTCGTACGTCTTTTTGCTAGAAGTAAGCCGTTCATGCTCTCCCTGGCCCGAGCGTACGATCGAGGGCTCTCATCTCTTGCACAATCTTACGGTGGAATACGTATTTCGTCTCTCAGTGATGGGCAAGATATTGTACTAGACCAATGGGAGCGAATCCTCCTCGAAACGAAAGTTTCCCTCGTGGACAGCTTCCATATATTGATTCGTATACTAGTAGCAGACATCGCCGCCGTACCTTCGGTCGGGCCTGGTCTTGCTGCGCAGTGTGAAGCAGCCTTCGAAGTCATCTTCGCATTGCTTGAGGAACCTCGCTCACGGGTCAATCTGGCCGACGATGCAGGATCTAGCGGAATCGATTCTATTCCATTTCTAAATCAAACTCTTATTGCAGACTACCAGCATGCATACGACCTATCGAAATTGCTTGCGGACACACTGAAGCGCCTAGACGATCCACAAATGGAGATACTCAACTCATCTCTGCGCTCGCTAGAGACACACGACGCCCACGCTAATAGTGTGGGTGCGGGCGCAGGTGCGCTCAGGCTCCTGCTTCGATCTTCAGGCGCTCCACCGGGGATCGCTAATCGTGGGTTTGGATCCAGCAGTACTGCCTACAGCGCGGACGCGAAAGGCAAAAGCAAAGCAGTTGCTCGTGACGTTCATCCAGAGAACCCCGCGCTCGATGCTGCTGTCGCACAGGTGCTCGACATTCTCCCTGACCAATCACCCGGATACCTGCGTTTTGTCCTTGCACATTCAGACTATCCATTTCATGGCGACGCGGAGAAGCTGCTTGGTGCTTTGTTAGAAGGCACGGCGCCTAGTCCAAGCGAAGTGGAGAGGCTCATGCACGCAGAGGTGCTTGTGGGACCTGCGGCATCTGACCCCGTCTCTCAGGAGAAAGAGGACTTCGTATATACCAGGGAGAGAACGAACATATTCGATGGAGAAAAAATGGATTTAAGCAATATCCGGATAGGAAAGAAGACGTATGTGACGCTCACTTATCAAACTCATACTGAACGTGCACACAAACTCACTCAAATACTTTATTCCCAGGGGAGACGCCAATGCTCTCCTTCAAGACCGCGCATTTATCGAGGAGATGAAAGCAGATATTCTGCGCCGCGCGGAAGCCATAGATGACGAGACTGATGATGAAGGTGTGCCGGGCAAGAAAGACGGGAGCAAATGGAGAGACGCGACGTTTGACGATCTGGACGAGGATCCTGTAGTAGTGAAGGTCAGGGATGGTGACGAGAGCGAATTGGATGGTCCGGACGTAGATGGTGAAGACAGCGAAGATGAAGAGGTCTGTCTTCATGATTCTATTTCTTTTGACCGTGTCGGATTGTTGATAGCTCATTTTGGCCAGACTGTGACGAAGACGCCGGAGGTGATTCTTGAGTTGGCATACATTCAAGATCCAAAGCAGTTTGAGCGAGATGGGCAGACCCGTAGAAGCAAGGCAAGAGTGGATCTCAAGGCGCAGACAGGTACGGTTCGAAGTAATATACATTCATCATGTGGCCCCTGACTCATCGCGAATGTTCACGCCCAGGCTGGACGGACGAGCAAATTGAAGGATGGAGAATCATGCTCGAGCGAAATGTAAGGATAATCTGTTTGACGGAAATATGACCTTATACTCCTCTCCGTATACAGCCTAAAAAAGACAAGATTCTCGAGAAATATGAATTTAGAGGCAACAAAACGCTGGCATCTACTCAGACTAATAGTGAGTCTTCTCATCGCGAAGGGGACAATCCTCGGGGACGGGGAGGTGGGCGTGGACGAGGTGGTCGCGGACGCGGACGCGGAGGCAGCAGTCGTGGAGGTGGTCAGCCAGGGGGCTCCGGGGACGGCAGTTCTGCGAGGGACAGGGCTTGGAAGGACAAGAACAAGGCGAGCAGGGCCAATCACGGTCGAAAGCGAGGACACGACAAGAAGATGGCAAGAGCGGGAGGGCCCAGTTGAACTTCTAATACATGTAGGTTAGACTCAAGTCTCTCTGTGACTGGTATGCCAAGCAAAGTATGGTTACAGAATGCATACCACTATACGTACAGAGCAGATGGTTCTGCGCTTAAGTTAGAAATACGTTATAGCCTCTTGCGCTTGCGGGCTACAGCGAGATTCTCAAGTCTCTTTCTCTTTTCCGCGACGGGTGATTGAGCATACAAAGGTTTGATAAGCCGTGGGTGTGTTGTAGTCTCTTCCGTGGCTTCCTGATGCGGTAGATCGACTGCGTTGGATGGGCTTCCACAAAACTCTCGTTCCGCAGAATTGTGTCTAATAACACTCATATCGGTATACATGCAACGAATACAATTTAAGATAGATATTATAACTCACCCCGACCTATGAGCAGGCTTAGACGAGCCAGAGGCAGTAAGTGGCTCATCGTCCGAACTGGTCAGATCCAGATTGGATTCGGACGTTAGGCTCGAGAGACATTTTTAGGGAGCGAGACTTACTCTTGTGACAATGGCGATGACTCCGGCGAGAAAGCTATCCGTCGTTTCCTGCTGAGGGTCACCGGTGTTGGAATCGCTTGATGTATGTTTTCAGACACTGCTGGGGCTACTAGTTCTAGGTGCGGCTCTGTCTTCGGGAGAGGTTCTGCCTCGGGAGAGGTTGCAAGAGGATTAGTAGAGGCTGATCTAGATGAGCTTCAGGCAATATTTCAGTAAAAAAAGCCCTGAACATGAATATATATTGAAACTCCAACCTTGCTTCTGGATGCCCATTATCGATAAAGTCCTCTTCAGCTTCTTCTTCACTAGTATCTTCATGTCTACGGAGATCCATCTTTGCCCATGAATTCGCTACGTCCAGAAGTGCATCCCATTGCTGTGAAGCAGTATACTGGACAACCTCTATCTCGTCGCGAGGACACGAGCCACGACACTGTGGACAAGTGATGTAATCTGAGCCCGGAGAGATCTGCATAATGCATGACTCGCAGAACGTGTGCTCGCATGGCAGACTAGTGTACGCTGTTAACACAGATGTATGGGGATAGTAACTATAGGTCCACTCACCTTGCACATTTGTTCAATTTAAGTTGCTCCATGCATATAGGGCACTCTTCGTCCTCTTCGATGGAGCTGGAGACCATAAGATCGTGAAAACGCCGTAGAAGCTGGTGTGACTTCAGTCGAACTGCCATTTCCCCCATAGTCCGTACGTACCTTCCTCATGCGATATGCAGAATCACCAACTTCAAATTCGGCTATGTCTTCCAGCTCTGCTGCATCCGCTTTAACCTCTTTCGCTCGAAGCTAGACATAATATCAAGGTAGCACAAACATATAGTGCGAGCTTCGGTAGCAGTGGACGTACTTTTTCGATCTTCCTACGGTTTTTCTGCCTCGCCTTCTCCAGGTCTCGTATGCGACTCTGGAGCTCCGCGACGGTTGGACCAACTTTCTTGCCTCTCTTTGGCTGAACTGATACGTCCTCCGCTTCTTCGATGCTCTTCAGCCTCCTCTCAAGTTGAACATTTCTCTTTCGTAAAGCCGTGAGCTCCTTCTGCAAAGCTCGAGCCCCTTTCAAGGCATTGTGCATATGTACCTAAATGCAAGTCGTATCAGCAAATGCCCATAGCCAATTGCAGTTCTTTCCATCCAGGCCGCATCAAGAGTATCGCCCAGACTTGCTACTAAATGTGGCGGCACACACCTCGACTTGGCCCATTTCAAAATGGGAGTCCAATTCAGAGCCTCTCGCATGGGATCCTACTGGTCGCGTCTGCGATGAAGCTGCATTAGCGTTAGCTCTTGTCAGTGGTGCCATGTTGGCATTGTATTCTGACCGAGATCCCTGAACGGTATTTCTAGCTATCGACCTTTCGGTCCGAGGTATATTCGGTGCAGATCCATCACAAAAATAAGCGGTTATGTAGTATATGTGCGATGTGTTTGTCAAGTTCCCATCGATTAGTGGTCAGATCATCACGTTGTGGACGCAGCTTCGGCTTGCGGCGAAACCGTGGGGACGGGGGCTCGAATCCCCCTGGGAACACTTTTTGTTGTCCCTTGCGCTCTTCTATTACTTAACTGGCATTACTGACTCGGTAGTGCTACTATCATTGCACCAGTAATGCAATCGCAACAGTAGTGCAATTACTGAACTTACAGCTGCTCCTCCCGCTCTATCAATCCCAATAAATCATGTATGATACAATACAATTTTTATCACTATTGTGTGATTTTCGTGTGGATGAGGAATACGAGAGCGACTCGAATGCCTCGCGAGTGCGTTTTGAGGACTACATCTCGACCAAGAGTGGCCTCGGGTGGGTGATTGTTATGTCCAACTGACATAATAACTCACCATAGCTATGTAAAGAACATACACGCCTCTATTCTAATTTCTCCGGAATAATCTGCGTAGCGAACCCCTCCTGAATCCTGTGTCAAACGATAGCGACTCAAATCTGTGACATTTAGCCACAATCGGCGTCATGAATCACGCTGGGCGGACAAAGAAAACGGCATGTGTGGCATTGTGACGGTCGACGTGACATGCCTCGGAGAAAAGTTGCACTACTGTTGCGATTTTGTTTTGCTCTCGGTATTGCTCAATTCTTGACATACTGAGCCTATGAAATTCACGTATGTACTTTCAAACATTCTGCATCAACTGGCAAAAACTCTGAGACTTTCCGGTAAACATTTGCACTAGGAAGCCCAGATACTGAAAAAGTTGCATTACTGGTGCAATGATAGTAGCAGTCCAAAACTAAAACGAAACTGGATAGTTCTCCGGTTCTGTAAGTCACAATATTACAATGAAGCGTTCATATGTCATATGCGTATCGTGAGTAACGACTAATTCCAGATCAGTCGAAGTTAAGATATACCTCGAGCACTGGTTTCGACCACTATCATCACGTCGTGACTCACTGTGACAGTCACGGAGAACGGAAGGATAAGGCAGTTTACATAAACTTTAATTGAGCTTAAATACTTTATTTTCGCAAATCTAATTGGTGTGGGGCTGACGGACTACAAGCCTCA